TGGAATATGTAGGTCAGATCCAGCATCCAAGGCAAGTGTGGTAGTGTCCATCCCTAGATGCATCATCCATGCAAGTTTGGTCCAGGTAGGGCTGATAGTTACTTGGGAATCTCTACACTCAACTGGAATATGTAGGTCAGATCCAGCATCTGAAGCAAGTGTGGTAGTGTCCATCCCTAGATGCATCATCCAAGCAAGTTTGGTCCACGTAGGGCTTATAGTTACTTGGGAATGGACCTGCTCCAAAAACTTTAATCTCTACACTCAACTGGAATATGTAGGTCAGATCCATCATCCAAAGCAAGTGTGGTAGTGTCCATCCCTAGATGCATCATCCAAGCAAGTTTGGTCCATGTAGGGCTTATAGTTACTTGGGAATGGACCTGCTCCAAAAACTTTAACCTGGTCACTCATCTGGAAAATCAAGGTCAGATCCAGCATCTGAAGCAAGTGTGGTAGTGTCCATCCCTAGATGCATCATCCAAGCAAGTTTGGTCCACGTAGGGCTTATAGTTACTTGGGAATGGACTTGCTCCTAAAACTTTAACCGGGACGCCGACGCCGGGGGTATAGCGTAAGCTCATCTCGACTTCGTCGAGATGAGCTAAAAATTATAATAAAATAAAAATTAAAGAATTATAAATTGTCACTATAAGATCAATAGAGCCCCATCCTTACTTCAGAATCCCTTATCCAGAGGTCATAAATTTCACAATTTTGGAAGAGGCACCTTTGTTTATCATAACCATGCATTTTGTTTGTCTACTTAAAGCTGAACACGACTCGTAAATAGGCATACACCATTTTAGATATTATATCTACGATACATCAACACCAGGGTATACTCTTCGCATTCGTTACACCTGACTGCTTTATTGTCATGGGTATCAGCGTGGAATGGCAACCCGTGTTCGTGCTGGTTATCTTGCATTACCCTTCTTTACATTTTATTGTAGTTACGTGTATCTGTGTTTGTTTGTATACTGCACTGACCTGTACAACAAAAATTGTAAGTTTCTTTTGTATCTTACTTTCCTGCATTAGACGACGTATTACAGTTATATTTGTCGCTACTGAGTGCTGTATAGCATATGTCTGTCCAAACCGGTGTCGACTGATTATACTGAACAGTGTCCAAGTCAGGCCCTTTATATAGGGGTCCTCAGATATAGCGAGAATCCAAACAAAAATGGCGGACACATTGCTTTTACGAATCATGTTCAGCTTTAATACCCAGGAGCAGAGATTTTAAAAGAATAATGTATTTTCACTATATATCCAATAGAGGCCCACCCTAACACCAGAACCAGGGCCACAAATTTCACAATTTAGGTAGGCCTGGTAGGGTCATTCTTGCTTCTCATAACCAAGCACTTAGTTTGTATTCTAAATAAGCAGGAGAAGTGAAGATTTTCATAGAATTAATGCACTTTCACTACAAGACCAACAGAGCCCCAACCTAACACCAGTTCGGACTGTTGGAAATGGCAGTAAAAGAAATATTCTGTAAATTTTCAGACTGATGGATTACAAACACCAATCAATGCTCAAGTTCTTCTGCCTTTTACATGCTGTACAACTTTTGTGTTACCATAAACTCCTTGCTGTTTTTGAAGGAATAAAAAACTTTTATCTGTATCTGTACCGTAAACATTTTACAGGGAGAAAAATCAATGAGCTCTGAACTCGCTCTATATTTTAAAAACCCTGAGGGACAATGACCCATTGTTACAGAGCAATTTTGGTGGTTGGGGGGGGGGGGGGGGTTTCCACTCTTATACACTAATTTTCTAGTGAAAAGTATTAGCACTATTCTATCGGACTGGTATGTTTGACATAATTACAAAAGAGGACTTAGTATATGTTGTAATTCACATTTTATTTGTGAATTTATAACACATATTCAGGAAACTCAAATGCAACGTCTTTTCCTGTAAGTTTCTTGTACACAGCTGTGAAAGTATCCACCTGAAAGCAAATATGAAACTCTCAGTCATACATGTACATCCAACATTTTCCTCAAGTTTATCCAAGTCAGTTTCAAAAAAAAAAAAAGTAATAATCATGAACCTATTTAACACTGTGCGGTATTTTCTTTCTCAAAATTTTAATTTCAACTGACAAAATGCAACCATTTATCTCTCAAAAACAGTGCATAACTAAAAATAAATCTACTACAAACGTACAACATTATATAAATAAGTGCATGTTTTTTCAGGGTAACAGTTGAAAATGACACCCCAAGAGAAAACCAATGTCAGCAGAGGTTGACAAAATTTTTTGATGGGTCTCAATTTCAACTGTTATCCCCAAAACATGCACCATTTTATTTATCATACTGAATGTCTCATCGAAATATGAACATAAAAATTTGGAGATTGTCGTTAACTTCATGGTTGAACAGCTTTCAAACTTTGCACTTCCATTTTTCTCAGTAAAAAGGCTTAAAAAAAGACTAGTTTCTTTATTGTTGGTGACCTGAGCTGGTAAAATATAGTATGGGAGGGGATAACCTGTACCTGTACTTCTCTTCACCTTGCCAGACAGGGTTTTTTTTTTTACCCACTAAGATTTTATCCATTTCAGATCATTCAAAAGCACTAATAGTACTGTCTTCAGAATATCTAGTATTTACTTTAGAGTACAAAAGATTTCTATACTAAATATGACCTATGTACATTATGGCAAACACTGACCTTGTGTTCAATATTTGTCTGTTGGTTCTTGTCCAAGTGCACCTTAATCAGTCGGGATCCATCTAACTTAATTCTAATTCTCTTGCCAACAATTTCTGCTGGGAAAGCTAGATCCTCAAGGATGGCATCATGGACTGAAGTTAGTGTACGACTGAAAACAAAAGTTTATCTCATCAATTTAATGTTGATTTGGTTAAACAATACCTGTAGCAGCAAAATAGTTATCAAACTCATACTCTTTAATACTAAGTACATGTACATTGAGATATCATGCATAATACAAGCACTCTGGTCAACCAAAACTTCATGATTATTTACTAGCATAAGACATCAATGATCATATGCAACCCCCTTCCAAGAAATCAGTGAAACTTGTCGAATTACATAACTTTTCTTCATTGACACTTGTTTTTAAGTTTTACTGATACCTACAGCTGTCACAGTTTCCCGAAATAACAGAAACTGTGGTCCAAGTTCTTGGTTTGGTTTTGTGTTCCATTTTTCCAGATTTCGGTTCGGTTCAGGTTTACATAATAGAATCTGATTTATACAAGAAATGGCACTGAAATCAAAGAATGACGATACCAGTGATGAATAAACATGACAACTGAAATCTATTTCATCCATTACAAAACACTTGTCACAAAAGGATGGGATCATTATCAAAACCAGCAAGTGTGGTCATGTTGTAGCTTACAGTCAGCCTAGTGGTCCTAAACACCGATGTCAAGACATTTATATGGTTAGGATTCTTTTTCAAGGTGCATTTAATGTAACAAGTGAAAAATTTACAAGTTCATTTCATGAACTTAAGGTTTAAATAGATGAGAAAACCGAAAACTTACAGAACCGACCTGACCTGAAAAATTTTGGAACTGTGACAGCCTGCAGTATGCAGAAATTTTTTCTTATATAGTAAAATCAAATTTGGGAGATCATAAAAAATCACTGCTAAATATACAAATTTCAGAGATACTTCTTGAGACTTAATTTTACTGGTTCATGGTAGACCAGAATAACATGCATTACAAAACTCTACAACATGCAAAGGCTCCTTTCAAATTCATCTAAATAAGCATACACTTAACCACCCACCCAAAGACCTACTTCAAAACAATTCTGCTTAATTTCAAACCTTTGATGTCATGATCTACTACCATGTTTATCAAACCTAAGGGTACAAAGTTTTGGTTCAATAGCCAACTTCTTATTCAATAGACTAATTTCATCCAAAACACCATCCACTTTTTCCCAACAATATAAAATAGCATTTTCTTTCAGTATATAATTCCTGTGGATTGAGATACGTACGATCTAGGTCTCTTCTGCTTGTTCTTCCTCCTTGTCTTTCTGGTAGGTTTCGGGAGGATTCTCCTCTACAAAACACAGTATTCACTTAATACTAAAATGTACACAGTCAGACAAAAACTTATTGAAACTTAACTTTCAAACTATAATACTTTCTTTGAAAGAATAGGGGTGAAACGATATGCCTCCTTCACGATACGATATGTATCGTATAATTTTGTCATGGTACGGTTATTTTTGATACAATACATTTTGATAGAAGAAAACAAATTCAATGTTGTTTTATGTTTTGTTTCAATAAATCCTGTCACTAAATCTACATTCAAATTGACTAGAAGAAATTAATTAGAATGATTTAACGCTTCAAGATTATTTTACAAACTACCAGTCCTCAAAAATTTACGTATTTAAAACTAAATTATGCTGAGTAGCGTGTTTTTACTTATACCAAACCTGACTGAATAACAATCCGAACAAAAAATGAACCGACCCGAAAATGGAGATTTTGTACCGTGTATCAAACCGAGAAAAATTACTGCGGTGAATCGATACTGCAGTGAACTGTTTCACCCCTATGCAAGAATCTGTTTTATACAAAAAAAAAACAAAACAAAAAAAAAAGATTCTTTCAAGATCCACTTTCTAGAAAGGCAAAAATATACTTCCTTTCTGGCAGAAATTCTTTACAATTTTTTATATTGATGTCAATGGGCTTGTGAGCATTCCTCTTGAAAATCCAAGTCACAATTAGTATTTCTGCAGAAAGTTAATTAACTGGATTAATTATTCCTACGATCTATCTGCTTTGTATACCTGATCACACCTCTGGAATTTCCAGGGATCTGTGTTTTATGTCCTGTTCACAGATTTGTATTGTTAGTAGGTATTTAGAGATTGATCACTGTTCGATATCTTCACCTTTTCAAATTTCACCAGACACAGCTTATGCAGCAGCATCAGGTGCACAACTCAAGGTATGCAAGTGTATTTGTAGGCCTTTCAACTGCCGCTAGGGTTCGATATAAAGAACCGATAACTCATTACCGGAACTTGTTTAAAGCAGGTGCGAGGTATCTAGTTATTTTTTAAACAGGTCAATTTTCAGCATTTCCCAATTTTTCCTTTGCTGTCAGTGGAATCCAGTGGTTTTAAAATTTAGCACACATGTTAAAATTATTTATAATGTAGTTTTCGACACTGGGAAATAATATATAAGTGAAATTTTTAATAAAAATATAAAGTGAAATCTACCCCCCTTCTTAATTTTAACCTGATTAAATTTTTATACTTGGTCGTTCTTCTTCGTGCTTGGTAAAACGAATAAGATAATTAATTGTTGCATTTACTTGTAGAAATGTATATCTTTAAATAAGAAGAACAACAATGAACACACAAAAAAACATGACATTATATTTTCTTCCTCGTAACAACTGTCAGAGAGAGTTAAAAATCTTGAATTTAGTCGGTTCCCCATTCATTTGATCCCGTTATTTCAGATAGAGTGAGGATATTCTCCTTGTTTTGGTCAACCCTTTTGTGTACAAAACAATGTAAGGAACCCTTTTGTGTACATAACAATACCAACTGAAGCAGCCTATATGTCATTCCTATAAACGATAACTCATAAATTGGCACTTTGTTGGTCGTTTTTCCAACTTTAGTTACCTGTCCTTAAAACACATCGTACAAATCAATTATTAATAATTAAATTTTTTAAAGATTTAATTAAAGGTATATATATATTATAATCTTTTTTGAGAATTCCACATAGCTGTAAATTAATCTATCAAATGTTTTTTACCATACACACAACCTGAAAAATTAGTTGAAAGGCCTAGTATTTGTTTTATGTAAGGCTTGTATCTGACAACCCAGCTCAAGATTCATGTCAAATAAAATTACATATGATTTCTTTCTTTCTTTTGATGCTTTCAAACAAAAACTGGACTTGATACTCTAGGTAGACCTTTTTTCTAGTTTGGATCTATAAATTTGTCTATTTTTACCTAATACGTAAAATTACAACCAACCTGTGCAATAAATACTACATGTTTCCCACTGAACTTCTTTTCAAGCTCTCTGACCAGTCTTGTCTGGATTTTCTGGTAAGCTCGGAGTTGAGGAACTGGTACAAAGATCATGATAGCCTTCTTGCCCTGAACATCAATTTCCTGACACAGAAAAAAGAGGATAGTTTTAATGACAATATACAATCACTAAATCAATTACCATTGATCAGTAACAATACAATGTTTTAATCAAAATATTTGGGCTGTTTTAAATTACTGAGCAAATTTGATGAAATGTTTGAGAATAGAAAACTAAGTTTTAAAAAAATTAAAAAAGCACGGAGATAAATTAAGGTACCTTGGCTCCTGTTATGTACAGCTCTCTCAGCTGTGCCTTAAGGTCACTGTTCATCTCAAGCTCCAGAAGAGCCTGAAAATTAAATAAACAACAGTCAATTTCTTGTTATCATGAAAATAATCATATTCAATCCATGGTGTCAGCAGCACTGACATTTCACTGTTTTGGGGGTCAAGAAATATTACTCCAAAAGACTTTTTCTCTGGTCTAAACAAGATAAACTAGCAATTCTGAGTACTCTGTAACATTTTGCACAGAAGTACACAATTATTAAGTATCCATTTCATTACAAGCACTTCATCACTTGGTTCAGGTTGTATACTTTAAGTACCAATTAATGCAGAACACTCATAATTTTTGAAATTACATTTCTGCTTTCAAATTTTCTTACCTGAGAAATTGATGACTCAAACTCATCTGGCTTTTCGCCTTGCGGCTTCACAATTTTAGCGCTCGCCGAGTACATCTAAAATAAAAATTATTCTAATATTTACTTCTAATGAGGAAATAATTTACATCAAATGCTGAACCTCATTCTCTAGTCACCAAGTCAGGACTTATCAGAGTTGTCGAAAACTGTTGGTCCTTTTGGCAAGGCCGGTAAAAATTTGTCTGGACCAAAAACTTGCAACCAAACATCAGTCCAAATGACCATTTGAAAATTTGTTTAAAAGATCAGGATTGGGGTGTGCAGGTGAAGCTCAAACTCAGAAACAGCAAAGAGGCAGCTTGGTAACAATTGTCGATCAAATTTGTTAAAGCAGACATAAATCATGTTATTTAAATCTCTGATAAAAGACTATCCCAAGAAATGAAATTTGAGAGATCAAAGGCTGCTGAGAATAATAAAGGGCAGTTTGGTGCACTGATTTATTTTCCTTTCTCATTGTACAAAATATGGTACAAGTATCTGGTCTGATTAAATTTTTCCCTGACCGACGGAACTTTCGACTTTGTCAGACCAAATTTCTGACAGTGATTTAAAAATTTCAACAACTTTGCTTCTGTATTTTTTCCCTAGGGTAGTGGTTGGCTAAAATTTTCAAACCTAATAACGAACATTGGTAAACTCTGTTAATTTTGTGCTTGGAAGCAGAATAAATTTTCATTTTAAAATGACATTCAAAAGCTTGTACAGTCCCAAATATCTTTTGTTTCGAACTTCCCAAATAACAACCCACTATCCAACTCTCCACAAAGAAGAAAGTGACATGAAATCTTTTTCTTCAAATCACGTTCAGAAGTAAACAAGTTACAACACCAGGAACATATACAAGCTAATAACTAATGTCACAATGTCCCTCCAAAGTTCTCTTTTCATTTGGAGAATAAGAAAACACTCTTCTATTCTTAATTTACACATAGCCATTTCCTCTAACATGTCCAACACTGTCAACACATTCTAACACAATGTATATCATCAGAGTAAATTCGTGACAAGATCCCCCATCCATCAAAATCTCCCTCAAATCGGGACTAAAACCCATCATCATGAGTTATTTTGCCCTTGACTGATAGGGTTACACTAAGCATTATATAATTCTAAAGTTTAATGAGCATTCTCTCAGTATTACTTGGACTGTTTACAATTTTATTGACAAATACCGTCGTAGTCGCACCTTGTCAATGGCGGCGACGGAAGAAAGGATCTTTCCGGAGAAAATCGCTGGTTTTCTCTGTTTCGTTACTACTTTGTTTTCCTGTAATAGATAAGTCTTACAAAGAATTTTTCTCATGTAAGATAATCTGAGATATGCTCATTTCCCTTTTAAAAGTATTATTCTCGTAATAAGTTAAATATATATATATATATATATATATATATATATATATATATATATATATATATATATATATATATATATATATATATATATATATATATATATTTTATGCATTCTCAAAAACGAGCCTGTCCGGCTAACGTTGTTTTCCAGAAAAGATAATAAAAATAAAATAAAATAATCCATAAGAAGATTTCATTCATTTTTTTTCTTTTGTGATATTTTGGCTTTGTTAAAGAAAAAGGGACTCAAAAAACGATAAAAGTGGTGTGATATATGGCTTTCATATTTCAAATGTGTATTCCTTGTGACAAGACCTTTCTTTGGGTACCATCATACTGGACCTTTTGGCCTTGACCTTGAAGTTGACCCACTTTTGCAAAATTTTATCAGACTTTAACTTGACTACAACATTTGAACAGTTGGTGTAAGGGCTTAAATCACACTTCACACATGCATTTCTTGTGACAAGTCATTCCTTTGGATACCAACAACTTTGACCATTTGACCTTGGAGTTTGACCTACTTTTGAAAAAAACTTTAACCTTGGCCATAACTTTTGAACAGTTGGTGCTAGGGCATTCATACTTCCCGAGTGTATTCCTTGTGACAAGGCCTTCCTTTGAATACCAACCCCATTGACCTTGACCGTAGAGTTTGACCTACTTTTAAAAAATGTTAACCTTGGTCATAACATTTGAACATTTGGTTCTATGGCTTGCATATTTCACGTACATGTGTATCACTTGTGACTTCCCTTGGGCTCCATTTTACCTTGACCTTTATGTTTTACTTTAAGATTACATCTCAAAGTTCAAAGTCATCATATCAGATAGATGACAACTTTCAAGTATATACACTGTAAGCAGTCCTGTGAGAGATGACTGCATATGCACACATGCAGAAATATGTATCTGACATTACTTAATAACAATTCAGATTTCATTTTGTATATTCAAATAATTTAATTTTGGTTGTAACGTGGTATTTGATGGGATAAAAAAATTTACACTGTATTGTATAAACTGTGTTTCCAACAACAAAATGACTTACATCAAAAAAGTATCGATTCGCCTGACGTTACATTCAAATTTTGTACAATTTGAAGTCATTTTTAAGGGCAATCATCTTTTTCTTACAATAAATGAATGAAAATTAAATTATATGGAATGAATTTTGAATTTAAAAGCTACCCATTTTTAGCTCACCTGAGCCAAAGGCTCAAGTGAGCTTTTCTGATCAAAATTTGTCCGTTGTCTGTCGTTGTTGTCCTTGGCATCGTTGTTGTTGTAAACTTTCCACATTTTCATCTTCTTCTCCAGAACTACTGGGCAAATTTTAACCAAACTTGGCACAGAGTATCCTTGGGTGAAGGGGACTCAAGTTTGTTCAAATGAAGGGCCACGCCTTCTTCCAAGGGGAGATAATTGCGAATTCATGAAAAATTTATGGCATGTTTCAAAAATCTTCTTCTCAAGAACCACTGTGTTAGAAAATATGAAACTTATGTTGTAGCATCCTCAGGTAGCATAGACTCAAGTTTCAAATCATGACCCCCAGGGGTAGGGTGGGGTCATAGTGGGCAATCAAAGTTTTACATAGGAATACATAGGGAAAATCTTCTTCTCAAGAACAGCAAAGTCTTGATTGGTCATATTTATATGGAAGCATTCTCAGGTGGTGTAGATTCAAATTTCTTCAAATCATGACCCCCGGGACTAGGGTGGGGCCACAATGGGCGATCAAAGTTTTACATAGGAATACATAGGGAAAATCTTTAAAAATCTTCTTCTCAAGAACAGCAAAAGCCTTGATTGGTCATATTTATATGGAAGCATCCTCAGGTAGTGTAGATTCAAGTTTGTTCAAATCATGACCCCTGGGGGTAGGGTGGGGTCAATGAACAATCAAAGTTTTACAAAGGAATATATAGGAGAAATCTTAAAAAATCTTCTTCTCTAGAACAGCACAGCCATGATTGGTTATATCCTCAGATAGTGTAGATTCAAGTTTGATCAAATCATGACCCTCAGGGGTAGGTAAGGGCCACAGTGAAAGTTTAAACTTGTAGGAAAAAAGTCACAGTTAGTCAAAAAAAAAATATGTAAGCATCCTTAGTTAGTGTAGATTCAATTTTGTTCAAATCATACCCCCCCCCCCCTCCCTCTTAGGGGTAGGTCGGGACCACTTATGCATTTAAGCATTGCAATACTAAACTGATTTTTGCTTTTTTCCTAGCCACAGTGCTCCGGTGAGCGATGTGGCCCCTGGGCCTCTTGTATATGATATAAACTGGGTTGGACAGTTTATGCTTTATAAACTGCGAAGAGGTTTATAAAAAAGTGTAAACTATTCCAACTCAGTTTATACCATATAAACTTGGTAGCTGTTAAATTCATTCCTTTTGGTGACCTACATTCCTGTACATCTCTAAGCTTTTAATTTGGTGACTAACATTCCTGTACATCTCTAAACTTCTAATTTGGTGACTAACATTCATGCACATCTCTAAACTTCTAATTTGGTGACCTACATTCATGCACATCTCTAAACTTCAACATAATATTACATAACAGTATGTTACCTGGAACTGGAAACAGATTTTATATTTCATACATATAGCAGTACCGATTTGTCTCTCTATCAATTATCAACAAAATTACTGTTACACTTAAATTCAGTATAATTAAGTATTATTCAGTATAACTACTCAATTTTTATTTGTGAAAAATTTATTTTCACGTATTTAGGCAAACCTGCTTGCTTGCTAACATTTCAGTCTTCACGTATATTTGTATCATTAAGATTTATTTACAACAAGAACCAAACTTTGTGATTTTTTTCTTGCCTATAAATATTGTATCAAACTACTATCTCATAAAAGTAATACAGTGAAACCTGTCTTACCCGACATGCACTAGGAGACTAATCTTGTGTCGAAATAGACAGGGTGTCAGATTACACTGTGTTTTAAAAGAACATGGAAAATAGTAAAATGGCAAAAAAAATAAATTTAAAGCAGAATTCTACAGTGAAACAGATTGCACAGGTGTCGGATTAGACAGTTTTCACTGTAATTGTTTCAAAAATTTAGTGATCTGCAGTACTGATTATGATGTACAGCATACAACTGATGACAAATTGATTCGGACCATTATCAAAATATTGCTCAGCATCAAGTTTGTTACCTATAATCTGAAAAAGTTTCTCTTCGAAAAAATGTGTAAATTATTTTAACACACCTGTTGATAATCGTAAAATTACACAAAGGTATATTGTAGTACAGACAACCACTCTGCAAAATGCTTAAGCACAAAAGATTTTAAGATTATACTTGTAGAAGTAAAATAAATATAGCAACATGAGAATATTTCAAGAAAGACAACTCTCTCTGTCTCCTTTTACAATATCCAACAATTAAGAAAATGGCACAAATTTACAAAATACACTTAATACATATGCACATAATTTAACTTGAATGAAAAAATCTGCCTTTAACAAAATAAATTCAATTTCTGATTGCAATATGTTTTCAAATAGAAAACATTATGGTATATATATTGCACTCTCTCACTTCAGGCCATGAATTATATCAAAATTTTTGTGACATGACATGGTTGTAAAAAAAATCATGAAAAATATAAATACAGTATAATTTGTCCAAACTGGATACCACTGGTTCCGTAAACATTGGCTGCATTAGACAGAATCTGGAGTGCAGGAAAATATCTGAAATTTTATTTCTGTTGTTTTATTTACAAGTACAATTCATATGTTGGCAACATATGATTAAGAGATTTAATCATTGGATATTTTGGGAGTCCAGAAATTATTCAAGAGTATATGCATGACTTACTGTCAAATTTTCTTTTTCGTTCACACAGAAAGAGAGTCTCCAAACTCAGTGTGAAATGTAAATGGAGTCAAAATCTACAGATATGTACATGTACATATCAAGCACAGGTTTGATTCATAAATATTGTCTTTTATTTTATGTTATACCGTGTGATATGGCATTACAAGCAAGTTAAATGGGCAAGCATTTTTAAAAAAATTAATTTACTTGTAACTAAACCTTATATTTATTCAAGTGGAATGTGTCACTGATGGGTTTCAGTTCGTATCATGACACTTATGTAAACATACGTTAGCACATCTACCACGAAAGGTGTTAACTGCTTTGAAGTGACTCAGTTAATATTGTGTGGCCGGATTACAGGAAGTAATTACTGTTAATAGTGAGCAGTTGGGACCAATATGGCTGTTCAGAATACAGAATAGACAGTATCCAGACTACACAGAATTTTTTTTATAATATGTACATTTCTTAAAAAAGTGCATGGGATTAAAATATAAAGCCAAAATGGACAAAATTCCAGAGTACTCAGAATCTGAATTAGACAAATTATACTGTACATATTATAAAAACAACTTTAAATGTTCACAATATCACAAGTGCTGTATCTTCATGACAATCTTTAATATTTAGAATTATGAAATTTTCCTACTCCTTCAAACAATTTTCATTTTATGTTTTACATCTGCATAAAACGTACTTGAAAACTGCATGAAGTAAAAATATCATTTTTAATTCAATATTTGTTCTTTATTCATATTGTAAGTTAAAAGGTATATATTTAAACATCATTTCAAATGCATGAATGCACACTATTTTGAATGCTTTAATATGTAAGTTTAAGGGTGTATTCTTTTTGTAGTGTAAAAACAAATGATATACATGTTCAAATACCAGGATATCTATCTTCAAAAGGAAAAAAGAAGCAAAGATAATAACTCAAGTTCTTATATGAAACATTACTGGTAGTTAATTTTGAATGCTCACAATACTGTAAATGTATTTTATTTGGCGTGTACGATATTTGGCAGAAATTGATTTTTCAGCAAGTTGGCATACATTTGATTTAGCACCTTCTGAAAGTTACTTATATAAATATGCATACATAAGACATTTAGCAATGTACTTGATTTAGCGGAAGCTGCTTTCCGCGAAAGGCGCTAATTAGAATGCACAGCCAAATGTAATACGTTTACAGTATGCATTTCTTATTAATATCATACAAGAAATATACTTTCAAATAATACAGGAAAGAGGAACATTTTGGGCAGTATAAATTTGGTGACTGATTGTCTCATCAATTATCACATCTAATATCCAATGTAAATGTTTCTATAAAAATAATTAAGTAGGTTGTCTACAGACACATTCATCAAATAATGTTTTGATATAAAGCACTAGCTAAAATATTTCATAAATATAACAAATAATAACTAAAGACTTTAAATTAAGTAATATAATAAGAACTGGAATGACATTTCAGTTACAAAAATACCAAAAAAAATATTGCACAGCAGAACTTGATCCATAAAAACACACTTATCTATCGATAACAATGTACAGATTATTACCCAAAAAACATGTAACCATCATTTTCCATGACATCATGCATATGATTATCCATTGCAACATGTTTACTATCACCCATAACCGCATGTCTTAGGTGTATTACTGTAAACAAACTTTTATTCGCGAGTGAGAAAATTCGCGACCTTCTTTCATTAGTGAATATTTCTAGTTGCGAACCAATTATTCACCTATGTATTTATGTAGAATGTTGCCTCAGTTGCGAAAATCAGTAGTCGCAGATGAATTCCAAACTGAAGAATCGCAAATAAAAGATGTCGTGAATAATAGTTGGTTTAACAGTATTTGTATAAAGGCAAGAATTGGTAAAACATTCATAAATATGATTTTTATATAAACAAGTAAACTTAAATTTTGTAGGCTTTTATGAAAACTAAAAAAATATATATATAAAATTTCTTTTGACTAGATTGATTATGTTAAAAATTACCCTTTTGTTGTACAACCAACAACTCTTATTCTCAATCAGATTAACCATTTGTGTCGCACTGTTTATAAAGTAATACAATTGTACATACAAAAAATTCTAATTCTGGACATCTTTCTGTCTATATACGCTTTGTAATATCTTTAGTGGAAGACTTTATTGAGATATGCAAAAGAAGGAAAAAAACCTTATGATATATATTGTTGATATAATAGTTCATTTTTTCTGATATTCTGTAGATTGAAAATCCCTAATCATCGATATCATCTTCACTGGCATAATCCCTGGCATCAGTGTTTGAATGCTTAGAAGACAATTCCTGTCTGATTTTATCCAACTCTGTAAGTTCTCCCTGCAAGAGATGCATTTTATAATCTTAATTACAATAAAGCTTGACTGCTGGTGCTTATATCCATTTTTCAATCATTATTTGTGGGAGCTAGGATGAAACGAAATTGTAGCTGTGATTGAACTTGGCAAATCCAAACTACCTGTACACATACAGTCAAACCTGGTAATGTCAAACTCAATGGGACCAAGAAAAAACTTTTCTGAGGATTTGAGATATCCAGAGTAAAATATCTAAGAATAAGGGTTGGGACTTCCAAATCACTTCGACATATCCATGGTATTTGAGATATTAGTGCTTGAGATACCAAAGTTTAACTGTACTTGTACGCTAACTGCCAAAAAGATTACGCTCAGTGCATTCCATGTGGTAATTAAACCACTAAAAGCAAAATGCAATCATACATGTTGTGTTTTACGGTACATCATTATCAATTTTTATTTATTTGAAATCATCATTCATTCTGTTATATAATTTTATCTTTTCATCCATTATATTTTCACTCTGAGAAAAAAAAGGCTTTACTCAAGTCATCATGTTGCCATGTCAATTTGATATTTACATACAACTGGTAAAAGTACATGTAGTAATAGGAGGATACATCACTTTAAGCCTGTGGTTAATCTGTCCCTAACATGATCTCATGCTAGCGTACTTACCCTAACTTGTGTCAGGTAGAACTGTCTTTTACTTGCAATGCCTCTCATTGGAAAAGGATTCACTGTATGGAATGCAATCTGAAACCAACAAAATATGACTTAAAAGTTTCATATGTTTTCCTTAAATTAATGCACTTGTTCAACTTCCTAGGAGGAAACTGAAATTGCTAATGAAATGAGCTAATATAAGAGGTACATGTATATCCATGATACAGAAAAAGTTTATTAAATTCATCTTCTTACACATACCTACCCATAACATGTTATAACCACCGCACATGATGTCATATTAATATGACATCGTTGTTCTTTATTACTCGAGGTTACAAAAGAAAATCACTTTAATAATTTGCTTGTTTCACTTAAAATTCATAGCACTTGGAGTTGTCTTTGTTATCATGGTAAAAAAAGATTAAAGCAAATCTTAAGTATGGCATTCATTGCTTTGCTATATAAACCAGAATTCATTACAAGTACATGTAGTTTAATATGAATAACTTTAAATTACTTGATGGTAAAACATATTATTCATCCTTAGTACTTTCAAAATAATCAATTATAAATCTGTTCACTTTCATTATTATTGACTGCAGAAAACAATTCAAAACCTGCTACAGTAAAAGTTAGGTTGTGGCAATCCTTACTTATATTATCATTGGATTCAATTCAATTTTTGGAATAATTTATGTGCATATATATATCCTCAAATACCTGATAGGGAATTGCCTTTGGCATCTAAACATTTTACCACATGTTTTAATCAACTCGTCAACCCACAGCCCCCTATAACAAGTACTGTGAGTGATTTCTTAAAAAAAAACTATTTCATGTTTTCATAGATTTTATACCTAACCTTGATGTTGATAAACAACGGCTTTGCTTTATATAAAATTGTTTGCTATACGAGGTAATCACCTGTGCTACTTTCTGGACATCTGTGATTTTTTCTCCCATTATCCTCATGAAGTGGTTCAGTTCCAGCGTACTCGTCTTCTTCAATATATCCTCTTCCACATACTTGAAAAATGCCACGGCAAATCGGAACAGCACCTACAAGGAATATAGTTTGTGTTGACTTATTTGAATGTAAACAATATGGTATTCAAAATGATAAAGATGACTGAAACTCAGAGCTAATAAATATGACAATTTTAACATTTCAATGCATACAGATTATACATGTACTGATACATGTACTGATACACTGATATGTCAAACACCAAGGATATGTCAAAGTGAGACTATAGTCCCTACTCAAGTTTGAGACTGATTTTTTTTATCTATAAATACTAATACTTGGATATTTTTAAATAGTTTTTGTCAGTCCCATTGAGTTTGATATACATCCATTAAACTAAATTTTATAAAAATCTAAAAAAAATTCTGAAGAATGAGAAAAACTTACTGAAAACTTGTATCTATAAATAGCAAAGACTGTGTTACTATAAGCCATCTTACTTTACTCCCTTCATACAGGAATGCATCCCAGATTCTGAGGAATGTGTTAATAGGAATGTTGTCAATAAACACAGTCAGGAACCAGTTAAAGGTGAAGAGTGAAAGGTCAACTGAGTGCTGCTCCAGGTGTGAGGCCACACGAGGGAGCTTTTCCTGAATCAGGTCCTTCAACACTCGCTGTATCAGAAACATATCAAATATTATAAATAAAATAATGATAAATAATAATCATAAATAATAATAGAAATAAAATAATGCAATACATTACATGTACACAATTTTTCTTCTTCAATTGTACACAAACTTCTGTAGTTTTACCACCCCCCCCCCCTTTCCCCATTTCTTCCTCAAAATAAACATTGTTTTCACAGTATGATGCAATAATCTTACACAATATTTGGTAATGTTTTTGTAACAGCTAAGTTATTTCCCTGCATTTACCACCAACATATTGAATTTATAAACCTACAAGACACTGTGCCTCTTATGCATCTTAGTCAAATGTGCAACTTATATTAATGAATGAAAAAAATCTGATTAAAATCAGATCCTTTGATTCGCTCGCATAAATCACTACACAAGGATCTGAAGAAACACCATTCAGGGTCATCTCCTGGTGACCTTTCAATTATCCAATCAAATGTCTGCTTGCAAGAATTTAGAAGTATCTAGGAATTCAGTTACAGAAGTGAAAGCCCTGATGATACACGAACGGAAAATTGTGACCTGGTTTCTGTAGCCTGTCAAGAGAATGACCACAGTCTTTTCTGTACAGAAATATATTTAGTACTTGCTTTTGCCTTGTTTTTTAGCTCTCTGTTTTGTACAAAGCGATAAGATCTTCTCCATAGCTACTTCACTTTTACATTCATTTTCCCGAATGCCGCTTAAGAACGATCTCTCTGATTGGTCAAAATTTAAATGAATATTTTTACTAGAAAGGTCACCAGGAGATGACCCCAAACGAGGTTTCCTTCAGATCCTTGTGTAGCGATCCATGTGAGCGGATCAAAGGATCTGATTTTAATCAGATTGTGAATGAGAATTGACCTGATCTGCCTGAGCTGCCAACATTGTCTTGCTGTAGTAATCCTGTGGCATGATAAAATCAATGATGGCCACCAAACACCAAAATGCCTCCTCTTCACTTAGAAACAGCAGGATAATGGCTGCCAGTCTGTTCATACCCTGTAAATAAATTAAACATCATGGTCTTAACAAAGAAGAGCATAGCAGTACTACACATACATATATTTATCTATTGCAGATATTAACTTTTTTCTATGTGAACCAATAAATAACTGCTAGTATTGACTTGTCTACATTGCTGCTAATTAGATACACAAAGTAAATGTATTTTTGATTATTGATGCTTAGTCTAATAGTCATAATAGCATATAAAATTGAAAATCTGCATTTATCTTAATTATTGCTAGTCACACCAAAAGAGTCAAGACTTGGGCCATTCCAGACATCAATAATCTCCATGCTTCACCTTCGGAAAAAAAAATTGTGGGAAACAATATTTGAATTTAAAATATCTATCAATTTTAAAAGGTATGTTTAATTAATCTGTAAACATTCTGATTCTGGACAAAATGCTTGGGAACACAAGTGTCCAGATTAAGAAGGCTTGACAGCATACACTACTGTATATGTACAGCTACCTTTTTACTAGAGGTGTAACGATATACCGGTATACCAAATTGAATATAAATTGTACCCTATTGCAGTACAAAAACCATATACACTGTACCTCTGTATAACAATTTGCAGCATTTTTAATTAAGCAATTTATATTATTTCTTTTATATTTAACTTAGTAATAAAAGTGATTTTCTTTATTTACTTAAACTGTTTTATTGTGTTCAGAGCTTAAATTACTAGTATTAAATGCTGCATAATGTACTGAACTTGAAGGAATAATCTACAACTTCCAAATCTCAATAGAGTTTCTCATTTTGATTAGAATAGAGACATACAAATAATATCAAAAATATGAAAGGTAAAATCATGATACAGTCCTAGTGTATCATGATATACATGTATCATGATAAGCCCTACTCAAATCGTAACACCCCTACTCTAATTACTGTTGCTAGTGCACATGCACTTCTATACACCACCACAAATGTATACACCTGTCTAGTCACTTTTGTTAGTCACAGCAATATATACCACTGCAAATGTACACTTACCTTTATATTTTTGCTAAAACCTACTAGTAAATAAGCACTACTATAAATGTAAACCTGTCTACACCTGGTCACACCAAAATATACTCCTGACTAATTACAGTAACGGTTGCTACATGTAGTGGACATGAATATGCACTACTGCAAATGTATAGCTGTGTAACTATTGCTAGTCTACACTAATTAGCATTTCTCATTAGTGTTTGTGTGCCTTCTATACACTGCAACTGTGTTTGTAGTAACATATGCTTAATTAACTACACTATTACTATTGTACAATATAATATAAACTAGATTTGTCCAAATTTTACTTTCACTTCATGCAGCCTAAACCATTCCCATGAGTGTAGTTAGTTCAATATCATGACAACTCCTCTGCTTTTAGCAACTTTTGTGTCAATTTTAAGCTTCTGCAATGTCTATGTAGCATCAGCTTAGCTATGGACTAGGCAAGAAAACTCTTACATATCCTACTGGCTAAATGTGAAAATGGTTTTGTCTAAGCCAGTAAGGGTCAAGACATACTCAGTATGAGGTTTGATTAATCCAGCATTACAAAGTCATGGATTGTAAAGAATTTAACACTTCTATTTCCTATGATCATATCCCAAATGACTTGGTTGATGACTTATGCTGACACTGGCAATATGCATCCTTTGAGGTAGGTTTAAGTATTTCTATTACAGCTCTTCTTGGACCGATATTTTACATTTCTGAATCCTGAGAGTTTGGTTTTGTCCAAATGTATTTCATTCTGGGTCTGGTCAATATCAATCATTATAAGCTTATTATTTATGAATGTTTCTCCATTAAAAAGTTAATATGTGGTATGAGTGAACAGACACAGACATAAAACCCTCCAAAAAATTGTGATTACATGCATATTGGAGAAAACGTGTACATATTACATGAGTTGATTCTTAACTTGCATAGAGAAAGGCCTATGTGTACAACAACCTGCAGTGCAGGCAAAACTAAAAGTCTATAGGAGAAGTAGCAATTGAAATCATCATGCTGATAATTTTATTTTTGTTCACAGAGATATGAGTGTCAGACTAAATATACAACTAAACTGGTTCACACGTCAAATACTATAATAGATTAATTGATTTTCTCACCCCAAATGAAAAAAAAAGTTTCCTACAATATCCTGAAATAAGAGATAAATACATTTGACTACTTATAAATGTTTTTATTGCTTCTATTGCAAGAAAGTTCTTCAAGAGCAGCTTTTAACAGATCGCAAACCATGGCTCAGCTTTCTGTATTACAATGATGCACATTGAAGTGGTAAATTTTTTGGTTTGAATGAGACGTTTTGGGTCTTTCTTATCGATTGTTACAGCCATAACTTTACAACTGAGGAAGCAATATTCTTCACATTGTTTTAAGATATCCTACTCTCTGACACTAGCCATGCAAGTAAAGGGGATATCATGAAGTTGGGAGAGAGAGTGAGAGACTCTCAGTTTCTGTAAAACTCACATTGCTGTGAATATGTACATAATTACACGTATATGTATTTGTCATATCTGTTTAAGTTATCACAGCACATGTAATGATTGAACACGTGTTTACCCAGTGTTTAAGTAGACTGCCAATTTGATTGGCTATTGTATTTAGAGAAAACCTGTTCTACAGGTATTCCAATGAAGAATGTGAGAAAATTAAAGACATCAAGGGTTCTCTCTCAGTGCAGACTGGTATTTCCCCGCCCACTAGCTCCTACAATAAACCGCCTTCTCATTTCTGAAGAAATGGGCATGTCATTACGTAACAACCATTTTTCAAAAAAAGCTCAAAACCTTCATTCAACCAGAAAATTTTATCACTTTAATGAAAATGCAAATGATGATAATGCATGTTACATAAGAATATATGTACCTACCTGACAATATCCTATTAATGTGTTATGCCAACTGTATGCCAAGAGAACATTCCTTAGCTTGCTTATCCCAGGGGATTCTATGTTCTCATAAAATCTGTTGTTGGGCAAAGTTCTCAACAAATCTAGCTCTATCTGAGGAAAAAAAATTCAAGATAAAGATTTAATTAAAGATTTTTTTTCATGGTACAAGTACACTGTAGACTTTTTTGAGAAAAAAAATCTGCCTATTGCAAGGATGCATATTCACAAAAAGATAAAATAAAAATATAATAGAGTACATGTAAATCAAGTGGAATCCGATGTACAAAACCCATTATCTTTTTTTCTTCATAGAAATTCAAAATTAACCTTGACAGTTAGGAAATTTAGAGTTTATTCTTACATTTATGTGGGTAAATGATTTAATTTCTAAGAACTTTATGATGGAAAGCTCAAGCATAAAAGAGATGTGTTTGTGAAACACTGATGCCCCCGTATGATAGCTTTTTCAAAAGTAGTTCAAACACCAAGGTCAAGGTCATGAGATCAGAATTGTTGGTTCTTTACCCAAAGAAAGGTCTTTTCACAAGGAATACACAAGTGCAATATGAAAGCCCTATCACTAACCATTCAAAAGTTATGGCCAAGGTTAAAGGTTTGCAAAAGTTGGCCAAACTCCGAGATCTGAAGGAAGAGCACCAACCATTCAAAAGTTATAGCCAAGGTTAAAGTTTTTTGGACAAACAGACAAACAGCTGAGCAGATTGACAGACCTAAAACTATATGCTCCCAAATCTTTGAATCATTATGGGGGCATAAAAAAACATTTACAGTAAGGTTATACACTATGCTGCAATCTGATTAGTACTAAAGCATTTAATATATTATGCCTTGAAATACATGTAATATGTACACACCAAAGTAGGCAAAATTCACTATTTACTGTAACACGACCTTTTCATATCAGTAGGCCCTAGCTTGTTGAATTTCATTAAAAATCAACAGATTTTCTAAATATAAACTAAAACATACTTTTTGCAATTAGCAAAAATTTGGAATGAGAATTAACCCACTATACATTAAAAAATCAATTTTATGAAAATATTCAAATCCAGTTATTCAAAAGTGATTTTTGCCACTGATGAGTCCTGATAGGCAGGATTTTTATTGTGTGGGTTTAATCCCTGTGCAAATTACCAATACATGTTTTTCTTTTTTTCATAGAATGGTCTCTGCGAATTATTATTCGGGGTGTTATACTACATGTACAAGTTATTGAATAAAAAATAAAAACTGCAACTAATTAATTCATATAAAATTGATGTCATGGGCATTTCCTGTGTCTGATTCCCCCTTATTCTTACTGCTTTGTGAAGTTGTTTTTCTCTATGGTCTTTTGGAGATTCTTTTATTTTTTGCAACAAATTGAAACTTAAAACATGTACTAGCCCTGACATAGATAAACTATCCTCCATCCTATCAATTTTATCAAGGAACCAATTTTGTTCGAGATATTAATCTACACAACCTAAAATAACTAATCATCATAGTGTTTTAAATTCCTGAATAGCACATCCTTTAATAAATATGACAAGTATTACTTGAGCATTGCTAGTGTAACTTGAATGGACACTTGGTCAATTACTTGTTACATACTTATGTTATTCAAATTAAAACTCGACGAAATCCCTATCAAATATAAACTGTATGTATGTACAAAGAGAAGGAGGAAGGAAGAACATAAAGTGATAAAATAGGAAGATATGAGGAAGTAAAATATACAATCTATATAGAGATGAGGAAGTGAAATACACAATCTACATAGATATGAGGAAGCTTACACATCAAAGCCTTTCATTCTTTCTCAAGTGAGTTGAGAAACAAGGAAGGAAGGCACTATAACTGTGATAGGGAATATTATATACAGGTTGATATGACATACTGTATGATATGGAATTTTAATACATAGTATTCTATTTATCATATATTTAGAATATTTAATATGCAAGTTCATATAAGTCATTTAAGCATTCTTGTGCATGTACAAGGGGTTATCAAAAAGTTTGTGGACTGATGCGATAAAATTAATACTATGTAGTCTGTGCTTACAAAATTTATAACAAAAGGTTAAGAAATGTTGAAAATTTTAGCTCGCTACGTTGATAATTTTCCGAATTATTATAAAATAAAAAAGACATTATATGATCACCCGGCGCTGTCGCCGTTTAGTTTCATGACGTCCGAAAACGTCATTGTTTCTCATTGTCCGCTCTCTCTACCTCATACACTTATCTTGATGAGATTACCTGGAGTTTAGTAAGGACTTAAACCCACTGGATCTATACAAAGGGAAAGATCCTCACTTGATTATGCCAGAATACTTAACTTGTCGGAGTTTAAATTCTACCACACACGATCTACGTCACTATTCGACGTGACTGACTTTTGATTGACTTTTGACACCCTGACTACAAATCGACATTAACTGTGCATCTTTCATCTCTCTGAATCTTTTTGGGCATTTAAAAACAAATACTCTGGATGCATTTTATTTCTCTTTTGCCTGTTTTAACATTCCTTAGGTCTACACCAGTTTTTCCAGGTCGAAACATTATAGAATGCTGGAAAAAAAAAACCCTCCCCCTTTTTGACGTCATTTTCAAGCCTTAATTTTTTGGACACTCCATATAAAATTTACGATGAAATTTTATAGAACGTACAGAATCGGGTAAAAATTGCAAATTTTACAGAACAATTCTGTTGTACCACATGTCTGAAATAACGGGATTTTTTTTTATGACAAATGCTCATATCAAAAAAGTTTTTCTCAGTTACAGTCAGGTAGAAAAAATGTCATATTTGAGGTTGCGCCGCCTGGACATACCATTGCTTACAAAAACATTAAAAATTTATTTAAAAAATAAAACTTATGATTTATGGTTTATTCTATAGATAGAAAAGATGATGCTAACTAAATGTTTAAAAATTCATTGATATACCTAAAGCGGTTTTAATCTTATGGTGCTAGTCCACAAACTTTTTGATAACCCCTTGTATATGGCCTTTTTTCTTTAAAATCTAATACTAGTAATAGAGCTATTACAGGTCATTTTAAGAATAAAGTCAACAAGTTTTAGTAAATGAATTGTATTACATGTATATTTCAATAAATCAAATTACCTGGTAATTAACTTTTAAACTTTATAAAAACGTTTGATATGCATTTTTGCATGTGGGTCTAATACGTGGGTTTTCTGATACATGTGTATTGTTGATAAGAGGTATTGTGATGTGACTGCACACTATGGAACTGGTGTATTTTCTTCTAAGTACAATAAACAATTCATAGGCATGATGTTTTCTTTAACATAAGTACCTGTTTTGCTGATGGGTCATGAAACCGAGACTGAAATTTGGCCACATTTTGTTTATAATAATGAGGTCCTAGTTTGTCCCTGATTGATCCAACATAAAAGTTTGCACATCTGCAAAAATAAACAGGTACATATACAATTCATTAAAAAATGAGGGAGAAAAATAATCGGGTTATTTTTATATGAAGGATTCTTTCCTTATTGTGGGTGCTTAAAAATTCTAAAATAAGTCAAAAATTACATCATCTACACTTTATAATTCAATTAGTTCAAAAAATATGTCTCCAATTATTGTTCAGTGCTTTATGAAAAAAAAAATACAGATTATTTTCCGAAATTTGTTTATGTAGATGTATATTATATTAATTTTTTTCTTGTAAAATCACGAACCCTTTCCAAATGGCCTCCTTGTACTCATGTGGAACACCTGAACGGATCATGAGTTTGAGTTCTTGTGAGCGTACAAGGGGCTTGCCAGTCTGAGCCATCATAAAGTTCTCCCACTTAACCTGGTGAGAGAGTTCCTCGTCCTGTCTCTATCAAAACCAAACTCATCAATCAACTCAACATTCAGTGCATGAAAGAGCACAAAAACACAAATACTGGGTGGCTCCTGTAGATGGTGCTTGCTTACCTTGATTTTATCACTGACTTCTGTTGATTTTCTCTCCAGTTTCTGAGCTTCCAAAGTCACAGGGTCAAACTCTCCACTTTCAAAGTCAAATCTCCTAACAAAGCCATACTTGTCATACTCTTGTCCACTATAAACAGGTTAATCATTCATAAGATTTCAAAATTGCAACTCAAGAATTTTCCACTTCATTTTTTTTTTTAATAAGGATAAGCAGTTTAGTTCCTTATATCAGGTAAAAAAATTAAAGTACATATATTTATCAGTGAAACACACTTTGGATGGACATTGTGAAAGAGTCATTTGATCAAAATACTTGCACTACATTCCATTTAAAGTTCTTGTTTTATACAAGTAAATGGCAGTCTAGAGCAGTCGAAGCAAATACAATGTAAATTTGTCTTGAACAAAATCTATATTTCTACATAATCAAATGAAATTCCTTTCAATCAATTATTGGACAAAAATAAAGTTAGAAATTCTTTTTCATGTTAAAATTCTTTCACAGGGAAAGTTAACGTTAAGAAACAAACCTTGAAGTGAGAATACACTCATGGTCCCCCATCTTTTCATCTAAATCATCATCTGTCTGAATGGCATCCGTCAACAACTGAGAAATAATTGCCTGCGAGTTCCTGTCTCCATCTACACACAAAAAAAAACAGTTAATGTTGGGCAAGTCTTTAAGGTCAGGTATATAGAGGACATATTATGTGACACATGCAGTAAAATCAATCATTTTTGCAAAGGGTACAGTGTGTGTTAATTTTTTGTTGTATGAAAAAACAATTTATGTCCACCACACAATGTTAAAAAAACTCTCCATTTCTTCAACTATGAAATGAAATACTTTTTTCCTCATTGTATAACACTATAACTTGTTTTTTTCAATTTACTGGTACATTAGACCCACAATGACTATATACATGTATATATATAAAAAAAAATGTTAATCTGTTTTGCAAGTGCATGTACCAAAATTCACAAAAATATGAACATTTCTTGAAGATGCTTTGAATTTTAATTTATACCTACCCATGACAGGCTGTTTCATTTCTTGCAGCAGATAGAGGTATTTACTTTTGGTCTGTAAGAACTTGCCTTCAAGATTCGCATTTTCCCTGTACAAGTATTGATTGAGTTTTTTTATCATAAAAAGTACCGGTATAGAAAACTCCCAATATGATGATAACTAATAATCAAGCTCTCAAGTCCATTGAAACAAATCGTGAGGAGAGCAAACAGGGACCTCTAATATTATACATGTAGTTGGGATCATGTTATGTTTCAACATGTAAAAATAAAAAAAAATTAGACATCTACATGGAGCTTTCAATAAAATTCATTCAGGACTAAATTACAACATTTTTACTTTTTCTTACATCAATAGACGTTTATGTCTTTCATCATCACTCTGCCTGAGTTCATTTAACTCCAGAATTTCTTTGGTCAAGAATTTGTTCTGTAACTCATAAGCTTGGCACATATCCTGAAACAAGAGTATATAAACTAATTCATAAGATTTACCAGTACAATGCACCTTACAAACAATTTCATTAAACAGATACATGTTCAATGAAGAATTCTACAGTTTCTCATTTAAATTTTCCTAAAGCTGTATCAGACTAACACTCATAAATTCTGATTTTATTTTATCTATTAAAACAGTATGTGTAATTTGTATGATTTACCCTGAGTTTCTCTAGCTCTCTGGTGTCTGTATCAAACACCACTGTCTTTCTGATGGTGGGGCTGGAAGGGGCGGGGCAGGAGTGAGGGTCATTGTTGTTCTTCTCCAGCTCAAACATATCATTGGTCAGTTTAACAATGACCTCATCCTTAGCCTGCAACATGTGCTGAAGCATAGTCACCTGGTCTTTCAAGGATTTCATTTCCTCTTCTGTTATTCTATGTCAATAAACATCATAGGTATATACTGTACCAAATTTTTGCAACACCTTATTTTCGCAAGTTGTTTATTTGGTATTTATAAGCGAGACAAAATTTTCACAAATGCTGGTTTTTGCTTATATTTTCTATGCTAATAAAAATATACGCAAGAATTAAATTTTTGCGAGCAGATTGTCTCACATAATTACATGAAAATAAAGTTCTAAAGAATAAAAAGTGATTTACAGTATTATTTTGATTTATAAAATGACATGCTTGTGCTGATAATAATTATAAAGAATTTTAATTAGTTACTCTTTTCTTCATTTTGAAAGAACCATGGGGTATTTTCAAATTACTTAAAATTATAAACATAAATTGAAGTAATTTTTAATGCAGCATAAAGCTTTTTTTAGAGATTGAGATTTATTATCTTTACAATATGGAAAAATGAGATTTTGTTGTAATAAATCATCTTTTAAGCAATAAAGCTTTTTTTTTCAATGATCTACCTATCAAGGTATATTAACATACCTCTGTTTCTGACTAGCAATGGCCTTTTCTTCATTCATTGTGGTCAAACAATATTCCAATTCTACAATATGTTTATCCCTCTCCTTAAGCATTTGATGAAGCCCTTCATCAGACTGGTTCAACCCATCAAATCTAAATGAAATGCATGAATGAAGCACAAAAACATAATTGAATGCATTATAACTGAAAGCATAATTTTTTTTTTAGCAGTATCATCAGCAGTTTTAAATAATAGAGAGGTTGAGATTTTAAACTTGTATGCGTACGTGTACGTGTGCACAAAGTTTGACGTACACGTACACATTGTTTGAAATTTGTCTGTTGAGATTTAATGACGTGTACCATGAACGTGTAGATTGTAATCGGTGTCTCTGTTTCAACTATTTTGTAGTTTTGTGACATTAGTTTGACTTTAGTTAGTGAACAAAACATGGTTAAAATAAGTGTTCATGAAACTTAACATCCTAAATAATTAACAACAATAACAGTTTCACACATAAATTGACTAGTTTTTATTGAAAAAGCTACACGTTTACACCTACGTGTAGATGCCTTTTTACAAGTTGTAGGAACGTGTAGAAAACTTATCAACACCAAAACTGATGACGTAATACGCAAGAAATTTAGAGAATTCCCCTACTAGACCTACCCGTACACGTACACGTATGAAATCTCAACCTCTCTAATTTGTGATTAGATACAGTATTTTTCCTGATGAGTTTACCTTGTTTGGATTTCCTTCCTGAGACTGTCGACTTCCTTCTGGAGCAGACGGACGATTTCTCTGTTGGCCTGAAGTTCATCTTCTGTTCCCTGTTGCTCCTCATGCAGTGCAGAAATATTATTCTGAAGCTGAAAATCCACAATTATAAACATCTATAAATACTAGTATGTGCTCTGTAACATAATATGTTACAATCTCTAAAACTTACTGATTTACTAAACTTTCTCTGTGGCTAAATGTCTGGAACTGCTAACTAAAAGTTGTTTAGAATTTACAAATGAGATTCACTTACGAGACTATTTTCGTGGTAAGGTTTATAAAAGTTAGCATTGTTTTTTCTCCTGCATCCACATGTGCTAAAAATTGTGAAACCTATCAATAAGATTCACCTGTTTACACCTGAAACATATTCCTTGTTGGTTAGCAGGGTCATCAACTGTTTTGGACCGTCTGACAACCTTCAGTTTATTAAATGCTGAAATGATTTTCCCTTGGTGCCTCATAGGAGGTGAAAGGTCACCAGAGGACCTCTGAGTAGGGAACTGATCCAAAATTGTCCAATCTTCTGCAGCTGGGGATGGTGAGGAAGTGTTAGAAGCATCAGATTTTCGGCCTATTCAAACATAGGTAATCAGAGATTACAGAGCTCACCTCATCAAATGTTGTCTTTAAGTAAAGGCAAATCCCACATTAAACTAATAATCTAGTAGTGTACATCCCAAGATGCAACATTTATACAATTTTGAACTGATAGGGCTTGCAGTTATTTGGGAATGGATTATCCAAAAGCTTCAAACTAGTCACTCATCTAGAAAACGTAATTCAAATCCAGCATCTGAAGCAAGTTTAAGAGTATTCATCCCTTTTAATATGCATCATCCATACAAGTTTGGTTCAGATAGGCCTTACAATTTCTTGGTATGAACCTGTGCCAAAAACTTTAACCAGGTCACTCATCTAGACAAGAGGCCCAAGGGCCTTAACGGTCACCTGAGTATGATACAACAATTTCAAGGATGCATAGAGTATAAAATGAACTGAAAGGTGAAGCTTTGTTGCCCAAAAGCAAGAAAAATAGGGTGATCATGATCAACAAAATAATTGGTCTTAATATTCATTAACAGTTCATAAATTAGGTTCTAATCTGTTCCCCATTTATCACTATCACCATACAGTATGTTAACAAATTATCAATGCTTCTGTACTATTTTAATCCTTTGTTGAAATCTCTTACATTGGCATCTCTTGGTCTTTGATGAATATTTAACAAGACAAGTTATTTTTGTCTCATTTTTATTTATCTACTACTTACAAGTCTATCTGATCATTAAAACTATGGAAGTACTTTTTGTATTATACAATAAAAGTTTTTGCATAATTCTCTTGTTCTATTTACCTTTCAAGTACATTATTTACAGTATTAAATTATCAAAAGTAAATGGCAAAGGGGAATAACTCCTCTCAGTAGAATTTAACTAATAGAGCCCTGGCCAGGACCAGAACACTTGACCAAATGGTCCAGATGTTCAAAAATCTGGTAAAAATTCCCTTCCTTATAAAAACTTTTACTCTGTTTGCCTCAGATATGCCCAGGTGCGGAGAAGATTTTTAAATAAATAATGCATTTTTACTACAGATTCACTATATTATCAATAGAGCCCCCCCCCCAACCCCCCACCCCCAAAACACCAGAGCTTCTGACCCTTGGACCATATGTTTGCTCATCATCACTTTGTTTATCTGCTTAACACTAAGGAGCAAACAGGATTATTTAATAGAATTAATGCATTTTCACTAAATTATCAAGAGCCCCATCCTCACACCAGCACATCTGACCCAGAGGTCATGAAATTCACTACTCTGGAAGAAGCACACTTGCTCATCATAACTATACACTTAGCTTCTTTGCTTTTTTAACCAGAAGAAGAAAGAATATTTTCAAAGAAATTTTGCTTTTTCACTTTATAATCAATAGAAGCCCCCCTCCTCCCTTCCATCAGAACCCTTAAACCTGGGGTCATAAAATTCACAATTTTGGAAGAGGCATCCTTGTGTATCATAACAATGTACTTTAGTCTGATTAAGCAATACCCAGGGGCAGAGAAGAAGATTTTCAAAGAAATAATTCACTTTCACTATAGGATCTATATAGCCCCGCCCTAGCACCAGAACTCCTGTCCCCGGGGCCATGAATTTCACAATTTTGGAAGAGGCATCCTTGCTTATCATAACAATGTACTTAGTTTGTTTAAATAATACCCAGGTGCAGAGAAAAAGATTTTTAAAGAATTAAAACATTTTCACTTTATAATCAATAGAGCCCCACCCTAACACCACAACCCCTGATCCAGGGGCCACGAATTTCACAATTTTGAAAGAGGCATCCTTGATTATCATAACTATGTATTTAATGTGTTTCAATAATACCCAGGAGTAGAGAAGAAGATTTTCAAAGAATTAATGCATTTTCACTATATAATCAATAGAGCCCAACCCTAACACCAGAACCCCTGACCCAGGGGCCATGAAATTCAAAATTTTGAAAGATGCACTCTTGCTCATCATAACTATGTACTTAGTTACTGAATTTAATACCCAGGAGCAGAGAAGAAGATTTTCAAAGGATTAATGCATTTTCACTATATAATCAATAGAGTCCCGCCCTAACACCAGAACCCCTGACCCAGGGGCCATGAAATTCACAATTTTGGAAGAGGCACTCTTCCTCATCCTAGCTATGTACTTAGTTAGTTTATTTAATATCCAGGAGCAGAGAAGAAGATTTTCAATGAATTAATGCATTTTCACTATATAATCAATAGAGCCCCGCCCTAACACCAGAACCCCTGCCCCAGGGGCCATGAATTTCACAATTTTGGAAGAGGCACTCTTACTCATTATAACTATATACTTAGTTAGTTTATTTAATACCCAGGAGCAGAGAAGAAGATTTTCAATGAATTAATGAATTTTCACTATATAATCAATAGAGCCCCGCCCTAACACCAGAACCCCTGCCCCTGGGGCCATGAATTTCACAATTTTGGAAGAGGTACTCTTACTCATCATTACTATATACTTAGTTAGTTTATTTAATACCCAGGAGCAGAGAAGAAGATTTCCAAAGAACTAATGCATTTTCACTATATAATCAATAGAGCCCCACCCTAACACCAGAACCCCTGCCCCTGGGGCCATGAATTTCACAATTTTGGAAGAGGCACTCTTACTCATCATAACTATATACTTAGTTAGTTTATTTAATACCCAGGAGCAGAGAAGAAGATTTTCAAAGAAATAATGCACTTTCACTATGTGATCTATATAGCCCCGCCCTAGCACCAGAACCCCTGACCCTGGGGCCATGAATTTCACAATTTTGGTAAAGGACTCAATGCTTATTACAATGATGCCAACAGTTTGACTGCTTGATGTCCAGGAGTAAAGAAGAAGATTTTTAAAGATTGCATTAATTTTGGTGGTTTTAGCCCCACCCCTCAGGCCCCAGGGGGGCAGGGACCATGAAATTCACAATTTTTGTTCCCCTTCACCCATAGATGCTATATGCCAAATTTAGTTGAAATTGGTTGAGCGGTTTCAGAGAAGAAGCTAAAAATGTTCAAATGTTAACGCACGACGCACGCCGACGGACAAAAACGGATAGCAATAGGTCACCTGAGTGACTCAGGTGACCTAAAAATGTAGGTCAAAACCAGCTTCTGAAGCAAGTCAAGTAGTGTGAATCCTTAAATGTATCATCCATGCAAGTTTGGTAAAGGTAGGGCAGTTAGTTACTTTAGAATGAACCTGATCAAAAAATGTTAACCTGGTCCCTCATCTGCAAAATGTAGGTTGGATCCAGCATCCGAAGCAAGTCGAGAAGTGTGCATCCTTAGATGTATCATCCATGTACGTTTGGTCAACATAGTGCTTATAGTTACTTTAGAATGAACCAACCCCAAAAACTTAACCTGGTCACTCATCCAGAAAATGTAGGTCAAATCCAGCATCCGAAGCAAGCCTGGTAGTGTGCATCCTTAGATATATCATCCATGCAAGTTTGGTTAACATAGGGCTTATAGTTAATGGAAATGAGACTTGCTCCAAAAACCTTAACCTGTCTAAAAACATTAACCTGGTCATTCCTTAGCTGAAATTGCAGCATTTGAAACCTTGACTGGTACAATGAAACACACTAGAAGCATCTTCCATGCATCTATGATTAATGTAGGTCATAGATATACTTAAAAGACAAGAGGCCCATGCGCCACATCGCTCACCTGAGCACATTGGTTAGGCAAAAGCACAAATCAGTTCAGTATGAAAAAGATTACGGGGGGGGGGGGGGGGGGGGGGGGGGGGGGGATGGGATTTTTTAACTATCTGATTATGCTTTCATGTCAATATAACAAATGGCTTTGTTGTACTTGAGATAATTTTTTTTTTTAAATTTTCCCATATATTACTCTGTAAAAATTTGATCCCCCATTGTGGCTCCTCCCTATCCCGGGGTCATCATTTGAACAAACTTGAATTTACATTACCTGAGGATGCTTCCATATCAAAATGACTAATTAAAACATGATTTTCAGTTCTTGAGAAGAAGATATTTTCCTATATGTTCCTATGTAAAATTTTCGATCCCCCATTTTAGCTCAACCATATCCCCGGGGGTCATCATTTTAACAAACTTGAATCTACATTACCTGAGGATGCATCCGTATCAAAATGACTATTCATGGCTTTGCAGTTCTTTAGAAGAAGATATTTTCCTATATATTTCTATGTAAAACTTTGACCCTCCATTGTGGCCCCACCCTACCCCCGGGGGTCATAATTTTAATAAACTTGAATCTACACTACCTGAGGATGCTTCCATATAAATATGACTCATCATGGCTTTGCTGTTCTTAAGAAGAAGATTTTTAAAGATTTTTCCTTTATATTTCTAAGTTATACTTTGATCTTCCATTGTGGCCTCGCCCTACCCTGGGAGGTCATGATTTGAATAAATTTGAATATACACTACCAGGATGCTTCCATATAAATATGACCAATCAGGGTATTGCTGTTCTTGAGAAGAAGATTTTTAAAGATTTTTCCTATATATTTCTAAGTAAAACTTTGATCGCCAATTGTGGTCCCGCCCTACCCTCGGGGGTCATGATTTGAACAAATTTGAATCTACACTATCTGAGGATGCTTCCATATAAATATGACTCATCATGGCTTTGCTGTTCTTGAGAAGAAGATTTTTAAAGATTTTTCCAGTATATTTCTATGTAAAACTTTGATCCTCCATTGTGGCCCCGCCCTACCCCTGGGGATCATGATTTGAACAAATTTGAATCTACACTACCTGAGGATGCTCCCAAATGAGTTTCATCTTTCCTGGCCCTGTGGTTCTTGAGAAGAAGATTTTTTAAAGATGCTTTTAATTTTTCACTAATTCTTAATTATCTCCCCTTGAAAGAGGGCGTGGCCCTTCATTTGAACAAACTTGAATCCCCTTCACCCAAGGATACTTTGTGGCAAGTTTGGTTGAAATTGGCCCAGTGGTTCTTGAGAAGAAGTCGAAAATGTTAAAAGTTTACAGACAGACAGACAGACAGACGGACAGACAGACAGACGGACAGACAGATGGACGCCGGACAAAAAGTGATCAGAAAAGTTCACTTGAGCCTTCGGCTCAGGTGAGCTAAAAACTGCTCCATAAAACTTTTAACCTGGGACGCCGACACCGATGGTATCACAAGCTTCCTTAAAGTGAGCTAAAAATAGCATAGCAATGTTACATTTATCTTTTAAATGACTCAAAAATGTCACTAATCCAAAATCCATTGTCAATGACTTAGCATTAAACAATGGGTAAACCATACTAAATTTTTTTTATGTCTCGTACAATACTGCTTAGATTATGTTTCATGATTTTCAAATATGTCATTATTAGTTGTGAAAGAATGTTATTAACATAATATGGAGGCAATGTAAAGTTTTTATCTCTACACATACATTCACATATAATCCATATGAAAAGTAGAAAAAAAAAACTTGATGAACACTAAATCAAATGAGCTTATTTCTACACTTCTAATTCAAAATGATTGATAACTACATTGTAAGTAAACCTTGAACTGATTGTTTTTTGATGTTGACCATGACATCTTGGATATCCGACTTGAGATTTGATGCTCTCCACATAGATGGCTTTCCTGCTGATGATGTCCACTCATCCAGAGAAGCTCGCCTGATGCCAAGTTTTTCTGAAGAAGGGATTACTGGAATTTCACCTTTTTGAGTTTCACACTGCCCCTGTTTCTCTGAGGTTGATTTAGCTCTTGATAATCCTCCCAAAGAATCTGGTCTATGAGTCTACAATAAATTTTTCAAAAAACTATTCACATTTATTATACATGTGGTATTTTAACTTTGAAGTGGTGTACTTGTACTAAAATGTTAAATACATGTATACTCAAAACCACAAGTCAGATGATGTTTAAATATCCTCTATTCCATAAGTTATGATGTAAGATGTATGTCTATTATCATTGACGAAAATTTTATTTCTATAAAAGAGCATCTCGTAAACTTATGCATGAATTCACTTATTTTTAATAAAATTAACTTTACTGTAACAGTTGATGAAAAACATATTTTTATTTTTAAATTCTCCCATTTAACAGTTGCAAAAGAGACTATAAGTCTAGAAAACAAATCTACTATATATATCCAAGTATACAGGTTTGATTAAAATCTCTTTAGAAGTTCTTTTACCTTTGGTCTAGGAAGAGAGTTCCTCTGAGTGGTGTGACTACGCCTTCTATTTTGTAGTTCCTGCAGCCAAAACATCATTACGTGTCGATCTGGTGCCTCTAGAAAGTAATCTTTGTTTTCTGATCTAAAATAAAAATTGGATCTAATTTCCTGTTGGTATAACAGTACAAAAAGAGTGTGAAATTTCATTCTCCAATTATCAAAAGGCCAAGAATAAAAAGCATCCAAATTTCCTTACTAATCCTTTTTTCATCCTTTGACCCTACATTTTGGAAATTAAATGATGAAAAAACATATCTGACAAACTCTAGATTCTATAAATGAATAAAGTTTATGTATTTGAAAACCTACAGTACTAAAAAACATTTAATTTTTTTAATCTTACTGACCTAAGCAACACCATAAAAAAATAATAGTTACCTTTTGAAAATTTGTTTATGATAAATTTAATGTATAAATATGTTACCATAGCTGAAAGTGAGGCATTTAAATGCCAAAACTGATTGATGAATGCAATCAGCATAACAATTTTATAGAAATTCAAGAAAATCATGCTCACACTTTTTGGAGGAATAAATTTATATTTTCTTCCTTGACAATTGTATTCTTTGTGTTTGCATTCATAAACTGATAAAAGATTCAGAAAAAATCTGACCCTGAGCAGTACTTGGCCATCTAAGAGCATGATAGAGCAGTCAGTGTGTTCCTTTTAAAAAGTTTTCAAAATTAATAAAACAAGTTAAATATTTTTCTCCCTTCTATAAAAAATGCTGCAACTAGATTAACAAATACGAAAAAGTCTTCTATGGGTGGCTACAACATTCAATATACACCAAACATTTATTGCAAGATTGCACCAATTAAAGTGGCAACCTGAAGCACCGGGTGACTTCAGTAATGATCAACTGCATATCAGTGCAAAAAGCAGTGCACAATTGGCTTAGAAACCATTTGCAGACAAGAAGGTCATTAGAGGGTCTTGTGTTGACATGACATTGGCAAATCTGACTGCATTGGGTAAGATGGCATATTGAATTTACTCATACCAATTAGGCATTAAGTGTTCTGTTTACATATATATGAGAATACTGAGTGGTGTGTTAAATTTTGTCTAGTGTATGTAATGTTTAAAGTATATTTTTTCTAATTTCCTGATACATAATATTGACTTTTAACTTAGTGAATGCGATTTTGTCTCCTTTGCATGTGTTGACCATAGAATACTCAAAACTCTGTAAATATGGTTCATTTTTGTAAAAACCGACCTGATCTCAAATCCTCCAGGTTTATCCGTCTTACTAGCATCAAAGTAAAATGTGGCATGTGAAATGTCAATCTCTCCAAGTGGGAGAAAATCATGAGGATTCCTATAATAATACAGTCTGCTGTTGGTGTCACTATAAGCAAACCACCTTAGTCGAGTAGATTTCAGCGGGCCTTTGTTGGTCGTTATATGAAGCCATCCACAGAGCTTGCCGTTTTTAGAATCAGGAAGTGAAGTGTTCACCTCTTCATTGCTATTTTTTCCCCCTGATTCTGCTTTGTCTTTCAATCTAGGATTAATATCATACTCCATCTGACTTGATCTGTCACCTGAGTTCGTAAGACTGACCTCAGAATCACTGTTTACATTGTTATCAGCTGAGGTACCTTGTACTTTCATTTTATCTCCGCCCTCCCTCTCGTCCATGATTAAATCCTAAGTGGGCACATTAAACAACTAAATATTTCATTTTAAAGAAACATGAAAACCTTCTGTAATGTATTTAAAAATTCGTTCCCATGACAAAACAAGGAATTAAATTACATCCTGATACGAGGGAGGAGGGAGGAGGAAATAAATCAATGATTATCATGTTATTTTCATTTTTAAAAAGTTAATGACATATCTTGATCCCGATGTAATTTGAAGAGTTTTTATAAATCATATTCTCTCCCTCTCTCTAACTTATTTGATTGAGTTATATAGATATATATGTATAAAAATTAAAAAAATCTTTTAGAATTTAATCACTATTAATTAAAGAGTTGTACATGTACCCCTAAAGGAAAGGTAGATTTATATCGGGATCGCTCTACCAGAGTTTCACAAACATCAAAACATGTTGACTGACGAATTCACTAGGTTGTTGGAAACTGCAGAAGGAGTGGAAAAGAAAACACCCAAAGGTTAAAGAGTATTCTTTTTATACGGTTTTACTTAATGTGAGTAATGGGTATATTGGAGGCACTTTATGTAAGTGGATAGTTCATGTGATTGGTATGTCTATTAAACTGTTAAAGGGACATTGAGCACAGGAATCGGCAATTTTGTCAATAAATTAAAAATAAATGATAAACAGGCATAAATCCTACCAGTGAGCTTCGCGAGTGAATAAAAATCTTATTTTATTTGGAAAATATGTCCGACGGTGAAACCGTTAGGGCGAGCGCAGTTCATTTTCTAAAACTCTACACATCTTCTCAAATGTTTTACATTCTGCTTATTACACTTTTATATCACGCGTTTACTGTGTATCGTACATAATTTTTTTTTAAAACCGTTATTGAAGTATATATTCTCTAACGTTGCAGACTCCCCATGCATCGGGATCGAAATTCCTAACTTCTCGGATATTTCCGACAAAATCGGAAATACCCGAGTTGTTAAAGTGACGAAAATATGACGTCACATACAAAGTCGTGTGTATCAAGGACGCAAATGATAGTTTTGTGGGCAGTTATGGCATGGAAATTGAATTAAATCGTTGTTTATTATTTTTATCAAGTAAGTTGTTGCTATGCTTAAGCCACCATGTTGCTATGCACCGCAAAGGATTATTGGGAGTATAGAATATTTTCACGTGGGACGATAAAAATTTCTTTGAACAATGTGCAGATTTTAACCTGAATTTCCTCCGTCCATACACGTCTATGGAGCTCGCTACGCGAGCGGCGCCGCCTCGCTGCGCTCGCTATTGTTGAAACTACTATTTTCGGACGTGTTTGATTGACACATCCTTGCACTTTCATTAAGTAAATTTTATCCTTAATCAGGTTGGGCACAGTTCCTTTTTCGAGGAAGTATTACTATAAAACGGGATTAATCCTCTTTTCAGTAATAAAAACATTACTGTATACGGGAAGATTCACTCGTTTACCCTCTATTCTCGTGTTTGCTTTGAATAAAAGATTAAGTGCAAGAATATTTTCACATCCTCTAAATATTTATAGTCTATTAAGTGTATGTATGCTCAAAACTACAATATTTATCACTGCAAAATGCTGAAAAAGAGTGATGAAATATTTCTACGATATAAATTTCTTACAGAAGCTTATCTGTGTTAAATTGCAAGATTGAATACGTTCAGCACTTGCTAACTTGTTCATGAAATTATTCGGCGTTCTAATTTAATTTTATATCATTTCTTTCAAAGACATCGTAAGAATAATTTTTAAGACCACTGCTTCTTTTACAGATGAAAATAATTATTTGAAATATAAAATTTTAAAAGATAGTCTTTCAAAGATGGTTTTAGCATGAATGCCCTTATAAGATTCCATACTTTACCATTTATCAACAGGGAAAATTAACGTAAAAGTCGTGGATTACTGCTGCACATGAGTTTAAATTCCTATGCATGTTCAAAAGATGTCACCTCCACGAAACCAAGCTATGAAATTTTCCATTTTTGAAAAAATAATTATATAACTTATAAGGGAAATATTCATATCGTTTGAAGAATACTCATGATGTCGTACGATTAAATCTCATCTTACTCCTGTCTGCAGCACTAAAGGACCGAATTTTTTTGTCAGCAAGGTTGGTTTAATAAAGTTTCAACATATCACATCGTATATTTCATGCACTTTTTATTTAAGAAATGGATTTGGAGCATTATTTTAAAAATATGACGAAAATTCCCGTATACAGTAATGTTTTTTATTACTGAAAAGAGGAATAATCCCGTTTTATAGTAATACTTCCCTGAAAAAAGAACTGTGCCCAACCTGTTGATACTAATGGGAAAAGAAGAAATTTTGTTGTTTATTAATGAAAAAAATTAAAGATATAATCCAGAAAATTCAGAGTAGAAATGTGAGAAAGCAAAACCAACTCACCAGTATTGTCAGTCTGTGCTCAGTGATGTGTGCAGAGTTTAACAAATTGAACACACCCGGTGAAACATAAACATTAACAATAACGGAGGTCATGCCCTGTTTATTAAACAGTTTACGATCTACCGGGTGTGTTCCATTTGATATCTCAAGAACTGTAAGAGATATATGGATTTGATATTTTTTTTCACATATATTGCTTGGCACTATGGCTTTTGTAAATAGCTATGGTTACCGACCTCCTGACCTTTGACCTCCTTTTCAAAATAGTTCATAGTGCTGATATACAGCATATTTTTGACATTTAAGAGGTAGGTCTATGCTATTTAGCATGTGCACTGTTTTTCATGAAATACTACCAGCATTACAATCCACTTGACCTTGATCTCTGACCTATTTTGCAAAAAATATCTCAGGCAGTTTTCTGTGTTTTCCCCAGGCTGTTTTTGCATGGCGGTACCGCCATGCATTGAAGATCCCCCGCCATGCATCGAGCAAGGCCGCCATGCTTCCCACTATGCATACTTTTTTCTTAAGCACAATTTTTTGTCTCCAAACTTTATCTTACGTGTAACATTAATTAATATACATGCTTAAATTGCACTTTCTCCGTTAAAACTTGCTGAATTACGCTTGCACCCGCAGAGAGTGTCGATGAATTAGAGTGTGACTAAAATGGGTACTAAAACCCGGGCGGGCCGGGAATTTTGAAACTGAAAACCGGGTTTTCGCTAATTTCTGAAACAATGCTGAATTCTTCATCACGAAACTTACAGATGTAATTTAATACAACAAAATGTGTCTTCACTGAGAGTTTTAACTCCAAATATTATGTTTTTCAACGTACATGTACTTCATATACTTTATTCACTATAGAGAATAATGAAATCTTGTGATAAAATAAATTTAAAATACTTTAATAAAAAAAGATTAAGATAGTGGTAACTAATACCGTGTAATATGGACATTACACGCGACAGAGCCAGTCGCCTTGACTAGCGTGTCAGTTTTACCATTTGTAATACACAGAAGCGACATGAAGAAATATCTTTCAAATCAAAGTGGCACTTGTCTAGCAACATCGGTATATTTTACCTTTGAAAATGATTGACATTGTAATTGTCAAGGGTAGGAGACTGACGGTAAAGTCTAGTACTGCATCTGACAATATACAAACCTGGCATTTGATAAACGTACTGCAAATTAAATTTTGTGTCAAGATGTCACGAAAACAGCAGCTAAGAAACGCCGAATTGAAAATTCATTTTTGACCAGCTGGTTTGCTTGTTGTATAAACAAAAGTAATGTTTATAACTGTTCACAATAAGTTACCAGTAAATGATTTATTATTCACCATGGGGATAACTTAATATCAAAAATATTTTAAAATGTTATATGTATTAATACATGCAATAGTTGTAGAAAGTAAAACCCAAAATTATTTTCAAACTTATTTCCAGCTGCCCATTACCCTTTGTTTACTTTCTAATACAATGTACTTATTAAGGATGTCAATTTTGTCCATAATTCATATTCGAATATTCAATGAAAGTATTCGAATATATTCGAATATTCGATAAAATAAATAAAATTTAGTTAATTTCAAATGTACATCATTATACTCTCATGGCAGGTTTGCGTCGGTATTTGGAAGTAAAATTGGACATAGACTTTTGTAGGTGCACAATAAGGAATTCTACATTTGATATCTGTCAATGTTTGAAATAAATGATTGATTTAAGTGTATACAACCGAAATATAAATGTAACAAATGATATCTATACAAGTTCAAACCAACGAACCAGTCGTTTAACCAGGGGCAAGATTGTCGTTTACTCTTCAGATTCAAAAACACGTACATGTAATTAATTACAATTATCTGCTTAATAAAAGATATAATACAATCTTTGATACAATGTTTTGACAATATAAACAAACAATTCCATGGACAATTTTCCTAGGTCATTAATTTCTCGATAATGATTTTAAATTTTTAAAATTATATTTAACCCGAGATAATCAAGTAATTGATGCATTATTCTGAAATTGAGCCCTTTACAATATTACAGGCTGATTCTATCAAAGATGTAATTCAATGATCAATAAAAATTATTTTCATAAGGTACATCCTTCACGTCTCTTAGACATTCAAGAAGGTTTTATTTCGTTGTCCTCGGTTCTAGATCCGATCATATTAAACTATTGAATGTACTTTTTGTATCATACATTAATAGTTCTTGTTTATTTCTTTATACCTTACTATTTCTTTATACCTTACTCAAAATGAAAAAAAAAGGAAGATCTATGATAAGAAAGTAGCGAAAGGAATCAGGGGATCGCTAGTAAATAAAACGGGGATAATTCCAGAACTGTTCTAATTAAAATTTATAACCTTTTTTGTGAAATCTGAAAACCACCGAATATTCGAATCTCAAATTCATATTCGAATATTAACTCATCGAATGAATATTCGAATGTTCGAATATTCGTTGACATCCCTAGTACTTATAGACACTGGTTGAGAAATTTCCATCCATTGGCATGGAAGAAGATGTCTATTCAGAGTGGGAGGGCCTAAAGCAACTTCTTTACAAGGAGTGTAAGGGCATGGGATTTAGACAAACCCTTCATAAAATTGTCAAGTTGGGCCATCTATTTCCCTGTATGGCCAAATTTGCTGCTATTGGACTTGTGCTACCTGTTTCTACAGCAGACTGTGAGAGGTGTTTTTCCTGTTTAAAAAGACTTAAGACTCCATTAAGAAACAGAATGGGACAGAAAGTGTTTAACTGCTTGATGAACATTTCATGTGAAGCACAGCCTCTTGAAAAGTTTGATTTTGAGAAAAGTGCAATAAGTTTTGCTAAGGGAAAGACCTGAAAAATTTCTGTATAAATACTAATCATAATTAAAATGTAGTTAGACTTTTTTGTTGTATATTTCATGAGAATGCATTCATTTTATGGCATAAAATGGTTAAAGTATTATAACGCACGGTGCGCACCGGGGATGCGTTTTGCTGCACCGCGCTCCAATTCAGGCAAACTTCCCCCCATGCATCAAAAATTTTCTGGGGAAAACACTGAGTTTTATTAAATTTGTGAGTTTGAATTTGAGAGGTTGGATTTAGATAATTAATAGCATTTATGCATGTTTATGAACTCATGATAGTGTACTTTGAAACTGTCTGATATTCAGTTATCAGACAAACTTATATTTAAATACTATTAAAAAAAAAAAAACCCATTGGGATCGGTATTCAACAATGGATCATGTAGACTGACAATTGAAGTAAAGACAGACTGAAATCTCTTTTGGAGGATTGTTGGAAACACGCATTAATAAAATGACAAATGGTTATTTTTAATACTTTCAATTTAATTATTCATTTGAGGTTTATGGAACCATAATTTCTTTGATTGTCAGATTCTATCGCATTCCTATACTATCCATGGATGCCATTTTTTCTTGCAGGCAAATGCATGAACTTTCAGTCTATCATGCTTATAGTAAATAAAAAGCTGACCACTATTAAATTTATTTACACCTACAAAGCAGGCGACACATGAGTTCCTTGGAACGTACACTCTAGTTTGTGTTGTAGGCACCCAAACATCATCGCAAGCCACTGGTTTTGTGCTCATTGAATGGACACAAAACCTGTGACTTGCGACGATGACACCCAAAGTGTACTTTATTTTAAACAGAAAATGCTTATTTTTTTCACAGAGACATTGATGGGTTCATGACATCTCTATATGAGTGAGAAATTCTCGAATGGGACGTAAAACAACATACAATCAATCAATCAATCATTTTTTTAGCTCTACTGGTAGTGGTGTTCCAGTCATCGATTATAATCGAAAATCAGTCGATTGCTGACATAATCCAAGCGCTCGATCAAAAAATTTTTATACTGATTAATCAGTTTATTTATTTTTTTTTTCTTTTACAAGCATAATAGTTTTTAAGCTAAAATTCCAGCTGTGACTAATCTATTAACTTATTCGTGTATCATAATGGCGCAGACAAACAGAAAATTTTATCCATACCCGGGTAACAAAGAACGTTCTAAGGTATAGACGTACTTTGGGTTCTACAAAATGAACAAAGGACCAGCTGAACCACCTACAAAAGAAACTTTGGACATGATAAAAACTGTCTGCAGGCTATATAAAAAAGGAATACATGCAAAATAAACGACAAATACATATGCAGAAAGTAGTCATTTACCCATTCTTACCATTTTATTAACTAAATTGATAGACTTTGTAAATGTCTGATTGTAATCAATAATTAGTAAGTTACGGTAACCCAATCATTGATTATAAAATTCTTACCAATTTCCATTACTATCTACTGGTCAAAGACCAGAAAAACGTATGCGATAGTAAAGTGTCCGTCGTCCATTGTCTGTAAACAATTCTTCAAATGCCACACCTCCTACAGGTTTGGTCTGATTTCAGTATAAATTGGTACACAAGTAGACAACACTAAGAAATTCTATGGTTTTGCCATGGTTACTAAAAATAGAAATTTCTGTGACAACAAGTAGCTTACACAAAGCTACTTAATTCTGCTTATCAGTTTTTTTATTTTGATGAATGGTGTTGCCACGGTAACTAAAAATAGAAATTTCTCTGAAATTTTTTTGTAACACTACTCCTACAGCTTTAATCTGATTTCAGTATAACTTGGCACTCAAGTAGACTACACTAAGATACATAACTCTATTTATCGTTTTTTTTATTTTGATGATTGGTGTTGCCATGGTTACTAAATATAGAATTCTCTGAAATTCTTTTGTAACACTACTCCCCTTGCAGTTATAGTCTGATTTCAATATTACTTGATACACAAGTAGACTACACAAAGAAACATAATTCTATTTTTTCGGTTTTTGATTTTTATAAACAATGTTGCCATGGTTACTCTAAAAGAAATTTCTGTGAAATTCTTTTAAAAGGCTACTCCTACAACATGTTTTGTTCAGTTACAATTGAACTCGACACAAATAGTTACTAAACCAACATGCCCAAGGATCATTATTTTATTTATTGCTGTTGCCATAGTTTCAAGTTCAAGTGTTACCTTTCTAATTCTATACCTCTGTTAAGTTTTATTAAAACCTCTCATCAGAGACTTCTGGTTATTTTACCTTTCTCTGATATGGAACTTTGACCAGCTCTTTCATCTGGAGGTTTGAAACCTGTTAAAGCTTAGGAGAATCTGATCTAGATGTCTAACCTCTTTGGGGATAAGATATTCAAGAGATAGTGGGGATGAAGCATTAAGAGAGAATATGAATGACAATCCCATGGATAGTCTAGTTGGTAGAGAACAACTCAAAAGTTCATACTACCATTTAGCCCAACTATAGATTGTTTTTTAACCTCCGTTGCAGGAGAGTGCACTTTTTTTTCACAACAGCAAATATTCCAGGTAATATGAAATGAGATTATTAAATAGATATATGGATGCTTAAACATATATCAAAAGTCTTTCAATATTTATTGTCTAATTGTTATTGAAAATTTTCTTTTTAGATAAGAAGCACCTTTTGGAGTGTGTCATACAAAAATGTAAGAATAATTTGGCAAAGAAGGATGCATCCACTGTGGAGGCTAGCCAGGAATATGCAAAAGCAGTTCTGGATTATACATTCATCGATGAAAGTATATTGGTTGATGGAAGCTTCCCAAAAGATAGCTGGAAGCCAAGAATTCATTCAATTTTTAGTAAGAATAAATTTTCTTTTTTTGGCTGTACATTTTCAATCTATATGTATTTATCCATAAGAGGCTACATGTGTAAGATACTGGTACCATGAACTTTGTTTGCTTAAGTTGAATATGAATTGACATGGGAGAGTACTCTTATGAAAGTAAATTAATTTCAGATGATATTGATGGAATAGAAAATGCAGTGAAAACATTGAAAGCAGAGAAGGGCAATATAGAGGTACACATAAACCAGAGCTTTCTACAAATGTTTATTTCTAACAATGTGCTTCCAGATACTGTAAACCATACTTTGAGTAAAAGATTCAATTTATACCCGCAAATTACAGAAGCATATAATCACAATAACATTAATAGAACAGTGAAAATATGTAGATACAAAAAATAGTTACAAAAACATGTACATGTAAATTTCTGCTGCAAAACCTCTCATGAGTCTAAAAAGGAACCGTTGTTTTATGTATTTTTATGAAGTGAGGCTTCATAATTTCATTGCTAATCATGATAAAGTTCCTTACAAAAGTTCATTAATTTTACGGAAAACAGATGTGCAAATAAATTCGATTAATACCTCAAATATGAGCAAATCCCTCAATCTAAAAAAATAGAAATGCTATAAACATCAATTTATCCTCTCTGATAAATACAGGATATTCAATGTTTTGTAGATGCTAGAATATGGAATTTATTTCACAAGTGGGACAGGATTTTTTTTAATATTTTCACTCGTGCTTCGCACTCATGAAAATATCACAAAATCCTGTCCCACTCATAAAATAAATTCCATACATGTACAAAACATTGAATTTTCTGTTTATTACATTTCTTAGATTTTCCCTTTGCCTCTGTTTCAACACAGTGTCATAGGCTGTAAGCTCATTGTTGAGTGGTTGAGACATCATAGCTAAGTGATTGTGAGATTGAAAAACATTGTAAACATGGATTTTTAATGACATATTTTGAAAAACTTTGGCAGTATAATTTTAAGTTTCTGTCAGGATGGCTCATTAACTCTATCTTATAACAGGCCGGGGATTATGCTTTATAAACCTCGAAGCGATTTATAAAAAAAGCTTAAACTGTTCCAACCCAGGTTATACCAATATAACTTGGGTAGCTATTAAATTCATTCCTTATAATTTAATTTTCCATCATTAAGTGTAAAAAAAATAAGACAATTTCTCCCTCAAAAATGCCTTCAAATTGTACGTATTTTAAATGTACCGGTAACATCAAGCGGATTGATACGTTTTTGACGTAAGTCATTGTGATGTAGGCAACCCAGGTTATACAATATATTCTAATTTTTTTATCCAATCAAATGATGCGTTACAACCAAAATTAAATTATATATGGAATAATTTATGATATAACAATTCATCAACTAGTAACAAAATTACATTAGTTTTAGACAGTCACCAGAGATGTATTTGACATTAAATTGAATTTTTTTCCCTTAAATTTTACAGGGCAGAATTAGGTCTTTGAGTGCTTTACCCATTGTTAAAAAAGCAAAACAACTCACTAAAGCTTTTGGCTGTAGTCATTAAAAAGTACCACTTTTATAACATCTGCCTGTGTATTTGTCCTTTGTTAACCAATGAAGACAACATTTTGTGAGAAAAAGGTTTAACTTTTATAGAACAGATGAAATGGTAATGGTATCTTATTGATTTGATATGACATGTAGTAGAAGTGCTGGGTCCATGTATCATTGATAATGATTTGGTTTGATATGATATAATAGATTGCTGGGTCCAGATATTGTAGTATGTATCTTATTGATTTGAAATGACAAGTAGTAGGTGAGCTGAATCTGAAGATGCACTAGAACTGGGTCCATAGATGTGCTGGGTCCATGCAAATATTGTACATCTGATTTGATATGACAGGTGTTTGATGTGCTGGGTCCAGACATTGTAGAATGTATCTTATTGATTTGTCATTTGTCATGTGTTTGATGTGCTGGGTCCAGACATTGTAGAATGTATCTTATTGATTTGTCATTTGTCATGTGTTTGATGTGCTGGGTCCAGACATTGTAGAATGCATCTTATTGATTTGACATGGTTGATGTGCTGGGTCCAGACATTGTAGAATGTATCTTATTGATTTGACATGACAGGTGTTTGATGTGCTTGGTCCAGACATTGTAGAATGTATCTTATTGATTTGACGTGACAGGTGTTTGATGTGCTGGGTCCAGACATTGTAGAATGTATGAATGTATCTTATTGATTTGACAAGACAGGTGGTTGATGTGCTGGGTCAGGATATTGTAGATTGTATCTTATTGATTTGACGTGACAGCTGTTTGATGTGCTGGGTCCAGACAATGTAGAATGTATCTAATTAATTTGACATGACAGGTGGTTGATGTGCTGGGTCCAGACATAGAATGTATGAATGTATCTTATTGATTTGACATGACAGGTGGTTGATGTGCTGGGTCCAGACATTGTAGAATGCATGTTATGGAGGAAGGGAGCATTGATGTACATGTATTGTGCCACCATCCAGGAAGAGCATAAAGACAGGATAAAGGAAGACCCTCAGTGTTATGCAGAGGTGAGACATAATTACTGAATTCTGGGCCAACTTGTTCAGCATTTATTAGTTTTATCTTTTAATTAAGATATAGATATTTACTTCATTTTCAACATTCCATGAAATGATGACTGGTATTTATTTCTCATTTTTGTTATATAATGTATGTTCACTTCTTACAAAACTTTGGAGTTTAATTTCAACTGTAAATGACTCACCAAATACAAACTACCTTATTGTATAAAGACTACTCAGTCAGTTTAGAAATAAAAATTTATTTTATGTAAAACACTTGCATGAGAGACTAAATTTGATTTAGAATTGAAACCATTTTCAAGAGAAAATGCTAACATTGAGCCAGAAGAATGCCATGAAATCATTGGAAGGCATTTTTTTTATTTCTTATTATTTTATTTCTTTTGTATTTTAATCTATTTTAGCAAATTGAATGTGGCATAGAAAATCTACAAAAAATGCTGTCAATACGACATCCTCATGAAGTACAGAAAGATGGCAAAGAGAGGGATGTAGAAACACTTTTTAGTTTGGGTATGTATATTGATTTTTACAAGGGACAGAACTTGAGATTACTTTCTCTTATAACACTGGAGATTATATTTCATATGTCATTACAGTGTCATATTAAGGACCCTCTACACACAGCACCTTTATATGATAGGATTTTCTCAATGTCAAAAAGCATTTTTCATTAGCATAGAGAGGGTCCTTAAGGTGAATAGTAGAATGAAAAAGGATGAAATATTTTTATGCTAAAAATATGGTATGCATGCGCTATCACACTCTATTTAAAAAATCATATACCTGGTAATCATTTTAATGACATAAAATACCAGCAAAGGTCTTACTGCATATTTTCAATCTCTTTTGACTAGAAATACATCTTTTGCAAATTTAAGGACACTTCAATACATGTATTTGAAAAAAAAAGCTTATAGGCCTTTGCAGACACCTGAGTACCATGAGTTTATCAGAATATTACCACTTTAAATTCACCTGAGGCTAGAACTCTGGATCATGTGACTGCTGCATTAATTCAAGATTTTGACTTCTTGCACAGTTCTTGATTGTGATGCATATGAGGGTCATTAACAAATTTTTGTCTTATGAAGTCTTCCAACTGAATTTAAAAAAAAATCAATGTAGATCACTTCAGACACACTTATCTACCTCATTGTCCTCACAGAAAAAGAATCATATGAGTTTTGAAGTTTTATAAAGTTTTGAAAATACCCTACACATTATACTGTTGTTTTATCATGAGAAAGAAAGTACAATAGCGGAAATTAGAAACAATGCAAAAGCCAGTGCTAAACTTAAAAAATCAGAACATTTGAAGAAGTACAGGGTTTTAGGTTTTAAGCTCACCAGAGCTAAGAGCGTCAAGTGAGCTTTTCTGATCACATTTTGTCTGGCTGTCCAATTGTCCATTTGTCTGTAAACTTTTTGCATTTTTTACTTTTTCTCTAGAACCACTGGCCCAGTTTCAACCAAACTTTCCTCAAAGCATCTTTGGTTGAAAGGGGATTCAAGTTTGTTGAAATGAAGGGCCACACCGTCTTTCATGGGGAGATGATTAAGAATTACTGAAAATGGCATTTTTCAAAAATCTTCTTCTCATGAACCACTGGGCCAGAAAAGTTAAAACTTATGTGAAAGCTTCAAATGTAGAGTAGATTAAAGTTTGTTCAAATCATAACCCCCTGGGATAGAGTGTGGTCAATGTAGCTGATTCTATAGTGCTCCACTGCATCATAAAGTTTTCTGAGGTATAACAAGATCAAAGAATGACCTGGTATACTGTAGCTGCAGTATAAACATGGTATTTCTTTTGTTTGTGCTTGATAGGTTGACTGGGATTGGCCAGGTGAATTAATGATAAGTTCAGTTGGGTAGCAGCATGTGTCAAATGTTTATTCTCTATGAACCATCTGCTTTGAATAAATTTTATTTTTCTTTATGAAAATCCCTATGTCTAGGCTAAGGTGATCAGATATTGATGTCTTAGATGAAAAGTAAGTAGCATTGTCTTAATGGTCATTCAAAACTTACTCCACCCAATTAACTTATTGTAAGCAGACATGTTTATGTGTACATTATACATCCAGGTTATTTTATATTTAATACTTTCAAGAGGTATAAATTCTATTTCATATAGTGGGATATAAATTTAAGAAAAGGATTGATTTTCCTCTCCAATTTTATGACCATCTTAATTTTTAAGACAATTTTATAGTACTCAATCTACTCTTGTTTTATGAGCTATGTACTTGAGATTTAACAAAATGCTTGCTCCTATACATTAGTCTTGTAAGTCTGCGATTTTTGCTTCAGGTATATACAGCGACACGCATTTACTAGCCATGATGTATGCAAGTGAGCTGTGTTACTGGCATTCTCAATTAAAAAAGGACCATCAATTTAATTGTTCCTCAACCCTGGATGAGAAACAAATTGGTGCCAAATATTTACAAGACTATATAAAGGCAGTTAAAGGCCCATTATCTGTTCAGGGATGGTCCTCAGAGAGAGCAGAACAATTACTAGATTACTTCTGTAAACAAACGTAAATAAATTGTTACAGGATGTCATTTGTCATGTTATAAAATTGTAATATTTATAATGGTTTTAAATTGCAAGGAAATCTCAAGAGTATTGTGTATGTATTGAAATCTTTTGAAGATTAAATCCTTGGAACTTGCATCATCTTTGAAAACTTTTTAATAAAATCTGTTCTAACTCTTATGCTGGCATCTTGTCTGATCTCATTGATCACAAGTCAATTGTAATGGGGATAGTCCATCGTATCACGTAGCAGAAATTAGGATGCATAACATTCCAACTAGCACTAAGAATAAGAAAATGCTTATTTAGGCCATTTGTTCCATATGACAAGGAACAGTAGAGGTTATACAGTAAGACTCGATTATAGAACCTGGGAATTTACTTCGCTATATCCATATTTTGTTATATCTGTTTAACGAATCTGTTAAAGTTATATATAAAGCAAATTTACAATATACGTTTTCCTTCAAGTATGACTCACTACCAAATATCTTCAGAGAAGTATGAAATGCAAAACTTACCTTAGATTACTAAAGATTTCTGATGCATTGAATTTCAAATATTAATACTTAAGAAAAATAATGTCAGTTCAATATTTCAAATTTACAGATCTTTAAGGATTCGTTACAAAAGATGTAATTTTGTAATTTTTAACTTTTATGGGGCACTAAATCAATTCGCTATATCAGTATATATGTTAAATTAAAGTTCATTATAACTGTAAAGTTTCACAAGGATTTGTTAAGAATTTGCTGGGGATCCCAAAATACTCTGCTGCATCCATAAATTTGCTAAATCTGTATTTGTACTAAACTAGTTTTACTGAATGTTGAAAGTGTATTGTTCAAACACCAGTGTGTTAATATATACTCTTCATTTATTTAAGCAAAATTTTAAAATACATCTGTTCCTAAAGATTTTGCATGATTTCAATAAAAATGTGACATGCATGTGTGGGCTAAGAGGAGTTGGATAAAAAAAGAATAGCTTCCTTTTTTGGTTTAATAGAACTAGTAGTTCAAATTCCTTCCATTAGTATATGATTGGATAAATTTGTTAATAAATTTTCCTGGATACAAGTGCTTTTGTAGATGTGGAAAAGACAAAGTTACAATAACAACTTGATCTCTTATTGTGTGTGTGTGTGTGTGTGGGGGGGGGGGGGGATTAAATGTTATAATATATTATATCGCAAATTTGTCTTCATTTTTAGACTAATGTAAACTCATGGGGTTGACCTTATAGGAATATAAAACACTGTACATGTATCATGTTTTGAAAGTTATTGATCAGAAAGGTTTTAAAGCTTTCTTAAAATTTTCTTTAACTTGTTCATGCATGAAATTGTGGTTATGTAGTTCATTATGTATTTAAGTTTTATACATCATTGAATTTAGATTTCTTTTATAACACTGTATTTAGGCTGAATAGTATGTTGAATCCCGTTTTCGATTAAGCTTGGTTAACAACTACACTTGATTGAAATGCATATCACAATTATGGCTTTACAATAAAATAGGAATGCCCTTTAGTAATGACAGTATTCAACTGTCTGTCAAGCTTGCTATCTGTCTAGCTATCTTTTCAACACTTTTATATAACATGATCATAATCTTTCAGACTTCACTGGTAGCAATAGATAGAGGAAGATATTTACAGTTTATGGGTCAATTGAGCAAAGATGAAGGGCAAAAGTAATTTTTATTCACATCGCAAATAAAGTTTGAGGGGAGGGGATATATTGGAATCATCATGTCCGACTGTAGACATGGTTTTGTCTGGAAATGTTCTAAGAAACTACTGCATGGATTTGTCTGAAAATGTCACATTATGTGTACACCCTTTCTTCTCCATATAAGATGTGCACTTCATATTTTCGTCATAATTGAACATTTTTTCTCACTTTACTATTTTTTTTTCACTTATATGGACTTTGTCATTTTCTTTTATATTTGATAATTGTACCTTGACCTGTGACCTTTTGACCTTAAAATCAATAGGTGTCTTCTTTAGGCCACAGGGAGTTGTGAAATTAAATTTTATTGAAAAAAAAAATCAAAGAAAACTAGTTATTATCTGGAAAATGCTATTTGCAATGTGTGAATTTCTGATCTTGACTTTTGTTCTCAAAATCCATAGAGGTCTATAAGGAGTTTTGATATAAAATTTCATTGCAAAAGTTCAAAGGCTTTTTAAGATATTGCATGGAAATGAAAGTATTGCACACAGAATGTATGGCCTTGATGATGACCTTTTGACCTCAAAATCAATAAGGTCTTCCTTAGGCCATACTCAATGCTGGTTTGTACTCTACACTATGACTAAAGTTGTACAGAAGGTAATATCTGAAATTATTTCTTAAATCAGGTCACCCAGAGCTTGAAAAGTCTTCTGTCCTTAAATATAGATGCAACATTATGAAATTGTCTTTCATGATTTTATTTTGCATATCACATATAATACACGCAAAACAATCTTTCCATAGGAAGATATGAATTAAAGTTTGAATGATTTTATTTGAAAATTATTATTTGGTATCCATGTTTCCTGAGTTGTGCACTGTTTAAATGGTATTTGATTTGCTAATAAATTCTAGAAGATCGTAATATCATATTTGTTTTTCTTGAAATGTCTTTTCAATTTTCAAATGATCAGCGAGTGTTTTCTCAATGAATTCTTTATTACAGGCTTGCTCTCTCTTCGGTATCCTGATATGAAGAGGGATGCTGTTATTTAAGCAAATAGAATAAATGTCGAGTATACTCTGTGCGAGCTTTGTGACTAGTTCATCATCAACTATAAGTTGATTTCGTATAGCACGTGGCATTTCTAGTTGAAAGGCGGGTGTTCCCATGACAACAGACTGACAAGTCATGGTGTACAAGTCACCACCCCAGTCACCACATAGTGCAGGGTTGACGTTAACTGTAAACCTCATGTTGTTTTTTTCGTAGGCACATTTGGGATCGCTGAACATGTTTGTGAACGCGATTTCGGTTTCAGATTTGAGCCACTTCGCAAAACTTGGATCTCTCCAGTGAGTTTCCATGGCTTTAAATCCCACATCAAGATCCATATTTGTTTTCCGATTTTTCTTTCCGTGCATATCAATGTGGAGTATCGGCAATTTGTTGTCCCGCCCAAATTGTTTGAAATGTTCTAACGCCTCGTGGAATGGGGACTGAGAAAACTGTTTCTCAGTCAAGTAGTTTGGGTCCAAGTTTTTGAAGTCCGCTGGCATTGCCATTCTCCTGTCCCATATAATAAAACTCGGCGGAATTCCAGCAATTCTATTGATTTCATTTGCCACCTTCAGTAAGATTTCGGTGACGTGGATTTCACGATAGTGAATGCGTCGTCTGCGTCCTTCAGTTCCACCGCGCCAGAGTTTGATCCCATGCGGAGCGCTGAGTAGAATGGGACCGAAAAGTTTAAACATACAAGCTGGCGTAGAGGTGATAATCTTTGATAGAATGGGTTTCATGAACTTAACATATTGATTATTGTTTTTTGAACTTTCCTTTTTAGAAGAATGTTTTGATCCGTGTTTGTGTGTATTCTGATCAGACTTCGACACCTCTACCTCGTTCACCGCTACACTTTCCTTCTTAGAGTGGTTCACAACTACCATGTTCTCATTATTGTGTCTAAATTGTATCGTAGGCTGTCTCTCAATGGTTGACATATATCTTTTGATAGCTTGTTTCACGGCGGTTTCAACACTTATAATGTCTTTGTTTCTACATGTCAAGTTAGATGACATTCCATCCAAAGAAAGCATTGTAGATTCTCTCTCTTGAATTTGTATTTTAGACACTAGATACTCCTGCTTTCTTGACCCATTTCCTGTCCGTTTTGGCGATTCCCCTTCAGAACTTTCACTTGACTCTTGGTTGCTGATTTGAAGCTTACTGAGATTAGTTTGTTCAGTCCTTGTACTAAATTCGGAAAACGTATGCATGCGCAGAATTCCAGGTTTTCTCAAAATTTTGGGTCTTAGTTGAGACTTTTTCACTTCTGGAATCGTAGACATTCTGTGAGGAAGATGTGGAAAGTCCTCTTTTTCTACCGGGAGGCGTGAGAAAATGCGTTTATGCTTGTCTGAGTAACTAAATAAAGGTACATGCGTCTTTGCCACGGTTATATACCGGGTCCTACTTGGAGCCTTGGGGATGCCGATGCGGAGCTGGTCTGTTGGATTGGAGAGCACATAAGGTCCACTGGTAGACGGTATTGTACCCGCCATGACTTGATATTAATGTCTGTTTGCTTGACTGGGTACATTTATTGCAAGGCACACACCTGGAAGAAAAGAATATTAGTTAAATGAATCATAAATGAAAGTCAATATTCCAAAGCACTTCTGGAATTTAAACGACAATTCAATATTCATATAGTTAGTAACATCAACATGAAGGGGAAAAAAATACCAAAAATTAGTTACGAATTTGATTTTCAAGTAAATGAAAATCAGAACTTCGACAGTAATCAAGTTTCTGTCAAACTGAGCTCCTTATTTCTTTGGAATTAATATTATAGGCCGGTTATTGCTTATCAAGGTGTTAAAGCCTGAGTCCTTTCTTTAGAAAATCATCTATTGTTCACTGTGCCTTTATAAGCGTTTGGATTTAATCAGTAAAGCTACCTTTACAACAAACGACTTTTCTACTTATCATTACGTTCCATTCAAGATTTGAATCTAAGTAAATATGAACTGAAATCATTTATTTTAATCAATTTAACGTGGACTTGAACAACTTCTCAATTATTCTAGAATTTTACTTCCAGAAACCACATTTGTGATCTCACATCGTGATCAAACAAAGTCTTGATCATATATTCAATCAATGTTACTGCTATTGTATAAGCAATATCTATATTGAGAACCCATTTTTGATATTACTGTATTGATTTCAGATTGACAGAAATAAAATAATCAAAACGCATCATATAAACTGTCATCATCAGTACTTGGATGTTTCGTTCATTTCATCGTATGTAGTCAGATATACGAAATAAATATTCACATTAAATATCTTAATAATAAATATATATTATTTGTTTTATTGGAATAAAAACCAACTTTCACTTTTATAGATAACTTACCTGTTCAAATTCACTTTTCCAAAACTAGCGACCCATTTACAAAGATCAAACTTTTAACTTTATTATCGTAAGAATTTCTTGCATTATATCAATTAAGACAATCTTTGATTTTGATAGGGTTTATAAACAGGCAGGGGGTTTAAACCTTACTTCAAACAAATATCTACTTACTCGTGGATTATTCTTATTTGTTCTTTAACACAAAAAGGGGTGGGTACAATGTTTCTGAGCAGATTAAATTCGTATCAAGGCCAAAAAATAAATGACATAAGAATTAGTATTTCTGTTGACACTTTTTACTTTAGGTCAATTAACATAACTGATTTAAGATTTTCTTCATGTTATTGGTAGAAATAAACAGAGGATAGATAAACTAAACTTACTAGTATCCCGTTTCTAGCGATATCCTTTGTTCTGCCAGACCTTTTATGTCGTCAAGAGCTCGGGTTCAATTTATCATTTCTTCAATCAGACTTGGGCATTTAAATGGGTACCCTTATCTGGAGCGACTGTATTACTGCGAATGTTGGCACTTCATGTTGGTAATTGCACTGACAGATTATTCTACACAAACCATTATACATTCACCTTCAATGATCTACTCTCATGCGATGTGGCACACACGACCACATTCCCCAACTTTACAGCGTAGACCTCTTTCTACCCTCCACCCCACCCCTTCCTAGATTTCCCACAAGTTTTCACCAAATTTATTTGCTGTTGGGGGTTAAGACACTAAACATTTTCATGCATGCATACACTCCAAATAAATAGTCAGAAGTTGGGGAAAAGATAATCAATTAATAAAATTAGTAAAACTCATTATCTTTATTTTTTCTAGCTACAATTTTAGCCCTTTTTGGCCGACTTCCGTTTTATTCATATTACTTTGTTTTTATGCAGTTATTTTCGTAGACAAATTTTGAACATTCTCTGTTACAAAGCGATTAAACAATTTTCTCCAGATTTGCTTCCCCTACAATAGAATTAGATACGATATTGGACTAATTTGCAACAATTTAAATTCTTGTATTTTTATTCATTAATACCACATTTCCTAAAGTGAATTTTTTTTTTTAATTCAAGTTCCTTTAATTTTTTACATTCAAGCACAAGTTTATTTTCAAAAGAAGTATGAAGACAAGGATCCTGTTCTGTACAAATTGTTCATTTTCCATTCTATCATGCAAATATTCAAATCAGTTGCTTCATATAAAATCGTTGAAATTAGACGTTAGACAATACGAGTAAAATTTTTCTATTCTTTCCTACAAATATTCAAATCTTATCTCAGGTGCTTAAGATGAAATTGTTGAAATTAGACATTAAGAGTAACCTCCCGTAATTTGTTGTACTATCCATATATATAAACTTTAAAACACTTTTTGAAATACATGTTTTTCAACCGTGTTACAGTCTTCGACAAATCCTGGGAGTCCGAAGCCCGGGACCTGGTAAAATTGGAAGCGGGCATGTGGAAATTGCATACTTACAAGCCCGAAGGGCATGTAAATTCTGAGGCCTAAGCCTCCGTATTATCAAATTAAATAATAAAGGCTATTTGCGTTTACATATATAAGAATATATACATGTATAAGAATACATGTATAAGAATAAACTCTGGGCATGTAAATATTTGTTCGGGCTAGCAGAATAAGTGGTTATACCTGCCCGAAGGGCATATACTGAAAAAAAGATTTGGTGAAGACTGTGTTACCGGCCTTCATCTAGCGAGTTCTTTGTCAGGCTAACTTTTCAAAAGACATCCACTAGCAATTATAAAATATTTGACTAATCCTGATTTGGTCCATAATTTTGTGTATATTTTCATAAAGAATTTCATTTTTGACATACAAATTTGACGTCTTAAACGTTGCATTATTGTACTTTTTTAGCTCACCTCCACGAAGATGAGATGAGCTTATGATTTACCCCCGGCGTCGGCGTCCCGGTTAAAGTTGTAGGAGCAAGTCCATTCCCAAGTAACTATAAGCCCTACCAGGACCAAACTTGCTTGGATGATGCATCTAGGGATGGACACTTATCACACTTGCTTGCATGTATGATGCATCTAGGGATGGACATACCACACTTGCTTCGGATGCTGGACCTGACCTAGATTTTCCATATGAGTGACTAGGTTAAAGTTTTTGGAGCAGGTCCATTCCCAAGTAACTATAAGCCCTATATGTACCTGAAACAAACTTGCATGTATATGATGCATCTAGGGATGGACACTACCATACTTGCTTCGGATGCTGGATCTGACCTAGATTTTCCAGATGAGTGACTAGGTTAAAGTTTTTGAAGCAGGTCCGTTCCCACGTAACTATAAGCCCTACCTTGACCAAACTTGCATGGATGATGCATCCAGGGATGGACTCTGCCTAGCTGCAATAATGTAGCCCTCCAATTTTTTTTAATCTGATATTTTTAGGAGAGGGCTACAATTCCACTGCATCTCCGTAATGGCGCAAATATATTTTTTAGATACGGGCGACTGCAGGCAAAATAAATTGTTTTTGCATTCAACTTACTTCCAATGAGACGGAATTTTTATTCACTATCAACATCATAGCCCTTTATACGCGAAAACCAAGTAAAATAAATCTGCGTGTTTACCAGTCGTTCTCCTCAGCAGCCATGACAGTTCTCGCGTGATGCACTGAGACTTGCGCTTGAAATTTAGAATCACTTGATAAAGTAAATGTCGGTGTTGATAAATGTTTGTGTTGTATGATATCACTAAACATCGATAAATAAAAGCATTCCATGGGATATTTTTTCATAAACAGTGATATTTATGCTTAAAATAAGGGAAATCTTCTACTATCCGCTCCCCTAGATCCCGTATTCTCATTGGTTGGCCCAAAATAAAATCGATCAAGGTCAGTAAACATGGCGGATAAATTCAAGTTGTGATGTTGACATACACGAAAAATAACCGATATACGGATTGTTCTGTATATTTTTGGATCAGTTCATGTCTTGCATAACTACATTTTATGAGTTCAGGTAAGATATGTTAATAAAATACCCACATACTGATAATTTGAGCCGAAATCTGTGCGGTAGTGAATCACTTCCGCACTTGCACCATTACGGAGATCCTAAGGAGTTGTAGCCCTCCCCCCCCCCCCCAAAAAAAAAAAGAAAAAAAAATCGGAGAGGCCTACATTATTGCAGCTAGACACTACCACACTTGCTTCGGATGCTGGATGTGAGCTAGATTTTCCAGATGAGTGACCAGGCTAATATTTTGGAGCAGGTCAATTCCCAAGTAACTATAAGCCCTACCTGGACCAAACTTTCAAGGATGATGTATCTAGGGATGTACACTAAGCAACCTGCTTTGGACGTGGATCCGACTTAGATTTTCCAAATTAGTGAAATTTAGCCATATTTTAACCAAATTAACATGGATGATGTATCTAGGGATGGACACTTCCAGACTTGCTTTGGATTCTGAATCTGACCTACATTTTCCAGATGAGTGACCAGGGTAATTTTTTTTTTTTGAGTAGCTATATAATATTATGGCCTGTTATGATTAAACTGAATACTTCCAGACTTGCTTTGAATGTTGAAACTGTGCAAAATTTTGATTAGTAACAGGTTAAAAGGTTTTTTGCATGGATATTGATCTTGGGATGTACACTAACTAGAAAAAAAATATGATGTTAAATTGCCTTACTTATAGATAACATTCGTCGAGGTGAGCTTCGTAATCTTTGATTACCTATGTTTGTTATTCAAAGAAATTCTTTTTCTTAAAGTTATCATTCCTATTCGATAAATTGTGATTCCTATTCGATACGTTGTTATTCCTGTTCGAAAAAATGTTATTCCTATTCAATAATTTGTCATTTCTTTTCGATAAATTGTTAGTCCTATTGGAAGACATATGATTCCGATTCATTATACAATGTATATTAATAATAATATATCATTAATGGTTGAAAACACGTGTTTCCTATTCGATAACATCTCATTCATATTCGAAAACATGTGATTCCTATTCGAAAATTTTGTCATTCTTATTCGATAATATTATGTGATTTATATGCAATAAACTTGATATTCCTATTCGAAAACATATCGACCGTCACGGTAGCTCGGTAGATCGCTCGCTGGACGTGATCGGAAGGTTGTGTGTTCGAATCACGGCCGC